GTCACTATACGGCGCTGAGATACTACTGACAGACTATATAGGATCCATTATTTTGGATCACCAGAATATCGACCTCTAGGCTATACTCCACTTCGCCAGGTGGGCGGAGTCTAAGGCATAGAGGAGATGGAGGTGCAAAATGACCCGCTTGTAGCCTATGTTCTGGATCCTCTTGGGTGCCGGAATGCCTCTAATTTTCATTTGATTTATTCATCTATTCAAACAATTTGATCAATCTGCGCAACTTTAAACGCCTCGTATGGACAGTCGCAATTTTTTTAGTATTTGTGAAGACTACAGATACACACGATGGTACTGATATTGGGCAGTAAGACAAATGGTCACAGCAGGAACTAACATGTAATAATACGGTTCTTAATAATACTGGAATTGCTGATTCTCAATAGTCAGCGCCGCTTGGCACATACTTTTGATATTGGTACCTTACAGGTTAAACAAACATCATAATTACAATGCTAGTACTCAATCAACAATGGTTCAATTTCCACCATTTCGTAAATATGATGATTCAGAAATTTGCGCTGAGCCTCACCCTTATTATGAAACTGCAATTGTTACTTTGAGGCTAGATAACATTTCACTTGATGTTCACTTTTATAGCTGTGTATGTTGCCTAAACGTCAACATACTTAAGGTATGTGCTGTGGCTCATATGTGATGTACGATCTGCTATAGAAATGGCACTAGCGGAGATCATCCATAGCTTCTATGGCCTAAGCTGTAAGTTCCATAATATAGATCGTTGTTCTATTCCTCCATAGGTGGCGTTCACAACAAGAACACGTGGCGTGGGCAAGCGACTAGCTATTAGTACATAATTGACAAGTATGGCCATAAAACCGCTATCATACCGATTACTTTACATAATAACACTGCCGTTCTCCAAAAACAAACATCTAAAATTTGACTGAATGATATAGAAATTCAGATCTTGGAAATTTTGGAGACAGTGGTATAGAATCCATCATTGGAACTAATCAATAATATGGATCAAACTGTACTCAAACAACAATGTTTTACTCAAAATTTCAGTGGAATCAGCCAAGAACGTGTTTTAGCTGAATGACTAAGCTTTCCAAAAATATAATTATAAACTGTACTTAGACCGGATCCAAAAAGCCAGCAATATTGAATTAGAGCCAATGCTTTCCTGGGTCTCTAAAGAGCTAAAATTTTTGAATTTGCCACTGACTGAGTTGATCTGCTTGATTTCATATTTTGCTGCTAACTTTTTTTTTAATACGCATAATACGGCATGAATTTCGTCCTATCACAAGTAATTACTTGTGTCCAAACACAAAGCATTAACATTTAGCAGTTAATGCAAAAAAATCAAAATAGCTTTTTAAAGTGTCACCATGGAGTGGTTCTTGACTGTTACCGTATCATGACTTTCCATAATTTGCCTCGTTTTCTATCAACTAAAGCATGTGAGGATGAAATAACTGTGTCTGGTGGGGATAATTCGTCGTTGATGATCAACAAAAGGTGGAACACAAATTTCAAACCTTGCTTGTTCAATTCAGAAGGCGATGCAAATACACGCCAGCCACACAAAGTCGTAACCGGAAAGAGCATAGAACATTGAAGATAAAAAAATTATATAATAAAATAAAGATATTGGCGAATTTTATATGATCATCAACGAGCTTGGGAGCTTTGCACCCGTTAGCGTACCCCACACTTGGAACATGGCAAAAATAAAAATGCTGGAAAAATTTGAATCTGAAGAGAGTAATACTGTAAATTTAGTCGTCCGAGGTTGACTATTTTTTGACCTTCCAACCAAAGGACAAACCAGGGTCTAGGTTTCTGAAGATGAAGATCAGACCTTATGGCCTGACTACGTCATTCGATTTTTTTTTTTTTAGTTTGTGAAGGACAGTGAAAAGAGCGCAGTTTTTCACCCAAAGACAATGCTTAGAAGGAGCAATGGAAACGCTGATTTGATGATTGTTTCCTGAATGTGATGGAGTGCATTCATTATGATGGAAATTATTTTGAAAAACTATAAACAGTTTTTTCATAGGTTCAAAACTCATGATGAACCCTCTCATTCTTCTACACCAGCAAACAATACCACATTCATTCCACAAAATGCACATCTATGCGTTACGTATGAGTACCCGCCAGTAATGAAGTGTCAGTGGTAATGAACTTGCAGTCGTCAAGATCGAGACGGCCATGGCCGTGAAGAGACGGCGACCGTGCGTCGTTTCGCCTTGGGAAAATGCGCGGATTGCTAGGATTTCGATGCCGGTCGCAGCGAAAGCAAACACGCGATCGCTGAAGAGTAGGCTGTGCTTGTTATGAAACAAACGCACAGCGCTATGTCATTATCACACGGTAATCAGTCGAGTTATGCGTGCATGAGGTCTGTGATGCTTTTGTTTTCTATGCGTGGGAGTTTTTTCAGTTCAGGAAGTACGGATCTCAATTGTTCCGTGCAACTTATGCTTTAAGATTATATTCAAAATTCTGGAATTAGGTGTGGAAATGGACATTAGTAGGCAACAGGCGTGATTAATAACTGAACAGTTTTCAGCAATTGGTTGCAGAAGGGTCATGCTTATATTTTTTTCTAAACGTATACAGGACAAGAAGTTAGATGTTAAAGGTATTCTAAGCCTATCTAAATCAGGAAATCGATCATCTGATAAGGAATATGCCCAAATTTGTTTCTTAGTGCATAAGACATCGTGGAGCCCCAAGAAGTTATTGATTTTTTTACAGTTTTTTCAAGAGGCTGGTTTTTTCTGAAATTGATCAATTACTTATCTAACCCTAAGACCTAAGAGACGTGTATACAAAAAAATGTTGTAATAAACTAATTATTACTGGATGTTCTTTTTTATCATTTAGCATGTGTATATGTCTAAATAAAATAAATAAAAAATAATTTAAAAAAAATTCTTCGAATACAAAAAAGGACTGAATAAAGTAACGTGAAACTAAGTCGTGTTCAATGTAACCGTACATGTTGAATTTATAAGGGATCAAAGTGTAGGAGTTTTTGTTTCTTATTAATTTAATTGCTTATAGAAAAGAGGGTGAAAATGAGGGATGCCCGATTAAAAAAAAGAAACTGCAGGGTGTACTGATAAACTATTGGAACCATCTTAATTTAAATGATTTTGGATTAATAATAATCAGATATTACTTGATTTGTTCGTTTTTGACCAGTAAATTTAGTAGGTACGTCATACGACTTTGAAAAATGGTGAATGTATCCAACACCATGACGATGCACACCCCACAGAATTTTAAATTCCACGTAATTTATTTCCAAAGGTAACTATCCAATTTTCTTCGGAAATGGTAAGAAAATGTAGACATGTACCCATGAAGGCTTTGAAAATGTACAACAGAATATCATGAAACAGTGATAAAGGCTGACTACTGACATGCTGCTATAAATGTGGTGTGAATTATGGTGAAAGCACTTTTCATTTGAGCGTTTCAATAGTAGACAGAAGAATTAAGTGCGACTTTCGCTGGGTGTGCGATAACCTAGCGGATGCCGACCTGAAATATTTGAGCTTGACACGTGCAATATTAAACAAACGGATATCAATGGAAATTACACATTTAGTCAAGTCGAGTTTCGGAACCCATTGAATTTCCATCTGACAATCCTGTCTTGATCTGACAAATGATGGTAGCAAAATATTTGCGGCTTCCTCAGGTCTCACATGACTCAGATTTCACGATATGCCTATATTCGACTGTTTGCCCGATAATGTTTTCCTTTTTATACATTGGCAGGGATATTACGTAACTTGAAAAGAGTGACATTATGTCGGTTTTTTTGACATTATGTAGGTTTTCATGACATTATTTAGGTTTTCCTACAAGAGGTCAACTTGGAACTAGCTGTCATTAACTTCATGCTCCCCTGTAGCAAGCGTGGAATGAACTATTTGCACACTAGCCTACCTAGTCAACAAGTTGACATTTTATCGTTTTTTTTTTTTGAAGTTATATAGTTCTTTTACGTAATAACCCTGCTGGTGTGGAGCAATAGTTGAGTTGCCCTCACTATGTCCTTCACTCCCGGCTAACTGAGGTCATCTCTTGACTCTTCATAATAATTTGACATTAGTGTGATGTATCAGTTATGGTAAACAATAATCGGAAAACTAGTAATTTCCCCAAAGTTCGTTTATTTAAGCAGACGCGATTTATCGATGACTCGAAAATGTTATTGATGTAAAACTGTATCATTTGGCAAACTTAGGTTGACATTTGCTGGCTAACAGGATCACAGTTTTTTATTTTAAGAAACTTATAAGCAAAGTATGAGCAATTTTATGACTAAAGTAGAATAAAAGAGATATTTACTTTGGATTTATATGGTAGTTGACTTTGCAGGATTAAGTTTTATTAAATTCCTCGTAATATTTAAAAGCTGACAGTATTACACCTGAATGTTCTCGTATTGTAAATCCAAAATAATGTGTGAAAAATTGACATTGAATTTTACAATTCTAAATCATATCTCTTACTTCAGACAGCCAATATAGTAGCAACTGAGATTATATAGAAAAATCCAATGTAGTCATCGGCAGAATTTTGGACTAGACAAAAAAATAGAAGCATGGTTGTTCAACGTTGATTTTCTCTTCGCATAGATAATGACTATACAGATTTGAGCAAAAGCTCACAGAGAAGGCTCGTAACTCTTCGCTCTTCTCCAAAGTATAGAAATCCCTCTTTTACTTGATAATACCTATTTTTATATTAAAATCCTTCCTATGAATAATACTACCTCCATCATAGATCCGCCGAGATATTCTCATGCATATTGAGTTACTCGGCAACGTATCAATTTTTCCAACCAATTACCAAAAACGCGAGTTAGAATTACTTCATCCTTTGCTTGGGTGGAAAGATCCAGTCACTTTCTCATGATTAGCTAGTTAACATGGAGCAAATTCACTTGACAAATTACACCTTATAGTAATAGGACGTTAGGATAATAATACTAATCATCCCCTTCTTGTTTCAGCACCAATAGATGAACACAGCACAGAAATTGAATACTATCCGGGTAAGTAAACCTAGTAATTTTGTTATATCCCCGTTTCTTTCCCTGTTAGTACAGGAAAGTTGGATAACGATGAGCTCATGAATTGGTAATAGTTGAGTTTATAAAAAAACAATTCTTGTAGATGTCGATACGCGCATTAAGGGTGGCAAGCACCAATCGAGCAGATTCAAAACTAAGTTAGTTTGCTGCTGCAAATATTAAATTCTCCGTGAGATTGGTTTCGTATACGAATGTTGTAGAGCTGAGTAGCCTCACTATTGAGAATATTATCTCGCCAATTATACATATGGTATTTTCAGCAATATACTAACTTAAGTTTTGAATTCTCTTTGTTGGTGCTCGCCGCACAGTGAGTTATTTTTGTGTAATTGATCGATAGCTTCGTTATTTCAAAAGATATCTGAAAAACTTAGTTACAGAAATTGTAGGCAAATATACGCTCCCTGCTCGGAAAATATTCGACCCTCTACAGGATGATTCTTGAATACGTAGTAAGACAATCACACATTTCTCCTAAATGGAATACTCTGGATATTTTACTATACGCTAGATGTTTCAAACGAAAAAGTTTGATTCTATCCGAAAAGGAAAACAGCTCCGACCAGTTAGTCGCTTTTGCGGATTTGCTAGCAAACTGTTCGTTCGTCAAAATGAGATTCATATCCCATACTTTCTCGTTACTTAAACTATGAAATTTTGTAAATCATCTACTATAGTGGTGTTTATAAATGCATCACGTACTTTTTTTCAATAAATTTTAATGGAATACCCTGTGTATTCTTACGGTATTCGTTTAACCTTTTTATTAATTTTATTTTGTTACGGCACTACTTATTCTTTGTATGTCTTGTATATTCAGAAATACCCCACTAACTACCGATGCACACGGGCGTCAAATTGCCGCGCTGCAAAAAACGCTCGTTTAACTTTACATTGATCGTCACTCTGTACAAAGGCCAAATCATACCTAGCCTCGACTGCTTCCCACTGCATTATCCATCCTCGATGCTGTTTAAATGAGGGCTGTCCGACTGATCGTTGACAGCAGAGTCAACAGTCAACAGTCCTGGGACCCTTTCGCACCAACGGGTCGTCGGCGATCTGGATCCCTTCTACCGCTATGTCAACGGGCTTTTCTAGACAAACCCATCTGACTTCGGCTTCCCATTATAACAGTGTCGCACCTCTTACATCCAGAACTAGCCGGAAACGACCTCTCCTTTGTCCCTAGGATGTCAAGATTGTGTAACAATCTGCCTGAGGAAGCTTTTTCAAGCTCTACGATCCTTAGGTAGTTAAAAGAACAAAGTCTTCAAGCTCCTCATTGAAGCCGGTATTTAGGCTTATGCCTTCGCAAAATGCTCGTGGGGACTTGTCGACGCGCTCGGAACGTGTGTAAGCGAGTAGACGCGCGTTTCAACAAGCGATTTTTTGTAGCGCGACAATTTTACGCCCTTGTATACCGGCAGTAAGCGTATACAAAGACAGGCAACTACCGTTAAGACGTACTTAATATCTCCAATAATGGCCACCGTCTTTAAGCGCTGCAGCATTCACGGAGGTCTAACGTCCATTGCTCACCTATTAGATACGTTTAGTATCTGGCACACAATCCATTAATCGGTAATAAAACCATGCTATTGAAGTTATAATAAAGACCCTAGACAACATAGTACACACAACACGTAGGTGTATCCAAACAAGTCTCTTGTTGCCCACACAGCTTTGCTATGTTTGGATGATGAATGGCTAGAGGAAATTTTACAGTATCCACAATGTATTGAGGTTATTATTCAATTTTCTAACAATGATGTACACACGGAAGCCATAAATTAGGCATTGATTTTGCTCTTTATACATGTCTTGATTTCTACACTCTCTAAAAGCTTTGTTTCTGAGATCGTCCATCACTAAGCTGCTCAATTTAGTTAGCGGGTCACTATCTATAATCACTTGTTTGAGCAATTCCACTTGTATGATTCCTTTATGATTTCGAGGAAAGTGCAGTTTCAACCTCCCACTATACCAGCGTTTCTTCAAGTGAGCGACAACACCGCCTTGTGGGCGCTGGTGACCCACATGAATACCGCCGTAAAAAAGCTCACCAAAAGCTGGATGTACCGGACGCGGAAAAATTTGTTAGACAGGATAGAAAAAGCCAAACATGAACGGCTATAGCCGCACGGATGGCAACGAAATATGTTTGAGAACCTCTGCTCTACACGATGCTTAAAAGCGCCTCGAATAAAAGATGTTTCGGTTAATTTGGGACGCTGATTTAGAATATGGTCATCAAACCATCTTAAATTATCGCGAACCACTTTTCGTAAAAAAATGACGTTCAGGGACCTCCCATCGATCTCTCTGCTGAATTCTAATTTTTTCACAGTCGCGGACGCGACCGGGTGCTACTACAACTTCGAGCACTATGACGAAGGCGACCGAATAATCACGAACGAGCCATGCCTGAACTGCACGTGTCACAACAGGATGCTGATGTGCTATCTAAGGGTCTGTCCCTTCACCAAAGCCATTGGACAAGACTGCAAGGTGGAGAAGAGGCCTGACCAATGTTGTCCGGTCATCATCTGTCCCGAAGGTAAGAAATTCTAGAGGTTTTAAAGGCTATATGTGAGCATTTTCAATCGCGGATTAACTTTCAAGTTAGGTTAACCGTTATGCGATAACTCTGCTTTTGTGACTGTGATGTTTATTATTTGTCTCTCGTGTCACTGTCAAGCACATGAGGTTAGACATTCCGCTTTGACATCTTTATAGTTATCCCATTCATCGTCCTCTGATTGAAGTTAACTACCGCTTCAGGACAAGCTTGACATTGACAAGCGCTTTTTGAGAGTTAACTTCTTGTTAGCAGTGAAGTTGCAGTTAACTTGCGATTGAAAAACCGGGCCTAAAACTGACATGCTTGACTATCAGTTATGTAATGGATAATTTCTAGACTAAACCCTATTCAAACACCAACGGTCAATCGCCGCTTTTTTCCACATGTCGCTGTTGCTACATGTATTTTATACGCAACAACGAAAGTGCGATAATTTGAAGCTTATTATGACATGTCGTAGATTAACTATGACTTTGCTGTTAACTGGAAGTTAATTCTCAAAAAGCATTTTTCAATATCAGGATTTTCCTTAACCTGTAGTTAACTTTCGCCAGAAAATCACCTACCTACCTACTTGTCACGAATAACAAACAACGAGCGTCACAATATGCACAAACCACGACACTTCAGTACTTAGAGGCAGCATTTTCTTAGTAATAACTATGGGTTAGTTAAGCTGGAACTTGAAAAACCACGGCAACTCTCAATTAACTCCCAGATTAGACTGTGTCAAATTGAAAGTTGACCCAGGATTCGAAACCTGGCCTTTAAATATCTGAGTATTGTCTGGCTAATTTCTATTTGTTCCCAATATTTAGTTCCTGTTCCAATACTTCCGGCAGCATCGACGCCAGCAACAGCAGTGGGTCACCCCAGCGAATATGGATGTTCCATCGATGGACTTTTCTACACAGATGGTGCTAAAGTTCCCTCCAACCCCAACAATCCATGCGAAGTTTGTTACTGCATTAGGAACAAGACAGCTTGCATCATCCAGGAGTGTACGCTTACCGGAAAGGTTGTGGAAGGATGCAGACCGGTTTATATTGAAGGAGTGTGTTGCCCGTTGCGATACGACTGTGGTAAGTAGCCAACATAAACAAAAAATCTAAATAGGGGATAATTTTTTCCAAACGACAGAAATACTGATATTCTATTTTCAATGGTAAAACTATGACCTCAAGTTTGTAACGGCAAAACTTTCTTTTGCGCTAAGGCCACTTGCGTCAAGCTTTTCCAGCTTTCTAGTAATTTTCATTATTTGTTCATTGTTTGTTTATCAATAATTTCTTCATTGCTTAGATCACCCGCAAATCGAAACTACATATCGACCATTGCTTACCACCACCACAACCACCACATTGGCACCAACCACCACACTGGCACCTACGGACTGTATCTTCAGAAACGAGGTATACGGTGATGGAGCTCTAGTCAAAAAGGACGTACCGTGTGAACAGTGTTACTGCGTTAAGGGAGACATCGTATGCGCGGTAAGTACCAAATGTGAGACGTTTGACCAACAGTAACATGAAATGAATAGCTTTTTTATTCATGCAATTTTAGGATGGTGTAACACTGTTTATTTCCAAAAGCTATATTTACTTTATGGTCCAGCCAGAAGCATTACTCACGGCGATGCTGATGGTGTGACCTCTTTTATCAGTTCTACGATCTCGTCTCGTCTTGTCGTTTGTCATTTAAGCGGTCCGCAGGACCTTGGCTGTTGACTAGCAGAATGTCAGTTCTAAGGCACGATCGAGGCTCTTTTGTGTGTATTGTCATTTTCTAACTAGCTCTTAATGCTTGAAGTACAACGACAAGAAGCTAGAGTTTGCCTCCATGTCTTCAACACAAATGTTGGTCTAAAACATTAATTAACCTTATCAAACCAACAAGATACTATCTTTAAAAGAATTCAACATTTTTCGTAGGTACAAGAATGTGGACCTACACCACTGGACAAAGTGAACTGCACCGCTCTACCAACCAAAGAAGGGCAATGTTGTCCAGATACCTACGACTGTGAGAAAGTCAGCGATGAAGATCTCACAACTCTCACATACTACGAAACTCCCACTACACAACCCACTGTAGTACGTCATGAAGTTACGACGTTCAAATCAGAAGAGGAAGTACCTACGACGCCAGAAGTCAGTATCGCAGATAGAGTGAAGATTCCCGAAGAAACTGCTGCCAAGCCAGAAGAAGAAAAGGTGACAGAGCCTGAAGAAGAAGAAAAGGTGACAGAGCCTGAAGAAGAAAAGGTGACAGAACCTCAAGAAGAAGAAAAGGCGACAGAGCCTGAAGAACAAGAAAGGACGACAGAGCCTGAAGAAGAAACAGTAACCAAAGCTGAAGAAGAGGAAGCTTCGAAACAAGCAACCTCACCAGAAGAAACTGTAACTAAAGCTGCCGAGGAAGAAGTTACAAAGCCTGAAGAAGAAGTGACACAACCAGTTACAGAATCATTCACTGCTAGGATAACAGAAGCTGTCACTGCCAAGGTATAGACTTATTATTTTGCATTTCATGTGATTAATTAGTTAAGAAACGTATCGTTTTGTTTATTGGCAACCTATACTAACCTGAGAAATGACTGTAACACCACTAGTTCTTAATGACAACACGTCTATGTTGCTAAGTTGAAAAATAGTGTGATTAGCTCAGAGTTAAATAATACGTTGAATCACTGTTGTGTTTTTGATCTTTCTAAGATTCTAATGTGTTTATAGGTAACCGAGATCTTCGAAGCGCTTACATCTACATTGAAATCGGTCACAGAACAACCAGAGCGTACAACTGAGCCCACACACCCAGAACTTGCACCTACTGAGGATCATGTTACCAAGGAAGCAGAGCAACCTATTACTGAACCTAGTGTAACTGGAAGACCTGGTATCGAGCCAACCACCGTCGCAGGTCGCGCGGAAGAGCAAGCTACCACTCTCCAACCTGTGAAAGAGGCTGTAACAGAGCCAGCTACTGAGGAAGAGAGGAAACAACCAGTCTCTGAGCCTGCTCAACCAACGACAGAACAGGCTGAAGAGAAGGCGCCAGTTACCGAAGAGGCTGTGACAAGACCAGAGGAAGAACAACCTGTAACAGAAACAAAACAGCCTGTAACAGAACAGCCGACAGAAGAAGCAATTGAGAAGAAAATGCCTGTTACAGAAGCACAACCAGTAACGGAACAACTACCTGCTACAGAAAAAGAAGAACCAATTACTGAAAAGGAACAGCCTCAAGCAACTGAACAACCTACTGCTACGGAGCCTGAGGAGGAGGAAGAACACGTGGTGCATGACCAACATGAAGAAGGTAAGTCCTCAATCATTGTATTGTAGTATCAATTGCCCCATTATGTGACTCAAAGCCACTTACCGAATGTCGTTCACACTTCAAAGTTTTAAAGTTATCATTGGTAAACATTCTGGGTAATACACACATTCTAGCAAGGTCTAATATAATCAACTCCTTTGTAAGCTTTCTACAATACAACGGTACATTTTCGAATGACAATTAATTTTCCACTAGGTGAAGAAGAAGAAGCTGAAGCCACAACTCCAAAGAAACCAGAAGAAGCAGAGAAGGCTGAGCCAGAGGCTTCAGTTACTGAAGCAGCTAAGCCAACTGAACCTCAAACAGAACAGGCTGCTCAACCTGAGACGACTCCAGCTATACCAGAACTGCCCCAGGAAACGCCTGAAGCTCCACGAATTACTGAAGCTCCAGTACCTGAAAAAGAACAACCTGAAGAAAAGGCAACTGAAGCTGCTCCAGTACCGGTTGAGAAAGAAACTAAATCTCCAGAAGTAACGAAAGAAAAGGCAACAGAAATTCCTGAAGTACTTGCTGAGAAGGAAACGGAAGCCCCGAAGGAAGCAGCACCTGAAGAAAAAGCTACTGAAGCTACGCAAGTACCATTTGAAAAAGAAACTGAAATTCCGAAAGTGCCGACTGGAGCCCCAGAACAGCCTAAGGGCACGGAACCAGCACCAACACCTACAACCGAACCTCAAGAAGAAATGGAAATCGTTACTAGCGCACCTTCTAAGGAAACCGAAAAGCCGCAGTCCATGGATCACGTCTCTGAAGGAGAAACAGTACCAGTACGATCTTCCACTGCGGCAGTACCTGCTTCTACTGAAGAACCTTGCAACGAACTGGAGGGTTGCTCACCAAGCAAGGAAGGCGAAGAAAGTAACGAAATACCACCAATTGAAGAGCAATGCACCAAAGAAGGATGTACGCTACAAGGACAACTGCCCAAGATTGAGCCCAGCACAGAGAAATCAGTACCTGAAGGAGAAGAAGCTAACAGAATCCCAGAAGAGCCTCCATGTGACAGTGCCACTGGCTGCACTGCTGCTCCTGAAGCCCCTGCTGAAGAAACATCGGAGAGGGCACAACCTGAAGAAGGGTCAGGACAACAGCCTGAAGAACATGAAGAGGGATCGGGACAAGAGGTGACAACACTAGCGCATGAAGAAGAACACCCAACAGGTACTATTTTTTGAAAAAAAAAAAATGTAAACTTTCGTAGTTTCCTCTGAATTCAGCTTTGAATTCTCTGAACCTAATTTATGACCTAGTTTAAAACAAAATATATGTTTTTCAGAACAACCCAGTAAACCTGTTACGGAAGCAACTGCAACAGAACCTACGAAGGAATCTGAAGTAACTACTTCCAGACTTCCAGAGGACGTTACCACAGCTCCAAGGGTTGCAGAAGAAGTACCAACCGTCAGCACACCTTCAAAGGAAGGACAAACCGAAGCTGCTGAAGAAGAGGAGCATCCAGAACATGACGAATCAGAAAACGAGGTTGCTCCTGAGGAGGAACATGAAACCGAGATCCCAGAAAGTGAAACAGAACCAGATGAGCATGAAGAACATGTAACTGAACCGGAAGAGCAAACTGAACCCGCAGAGAGAGAACCTGAGGAACATGTTACCGAACCTACTGAAGAAGAGCATGAAGAACATATTACTGAACCTGCTGAAAAAGAAGCAGAGAAACATGTTACTGAGTCGGTCGAAGAGGAACATGGTACTGAACTTGCAGAGAAGGAGCCTGTCACAGAACCAGTTACTGGACCAACTGAAGCACCATCACCAGTAGAAGAAGCCAAGGCTCCCTCAAGTGAAGCTCCTGCTGCAGAAGAAGGAACTCCTTCACCTGAGAAGGAAGGATTTACTGAGGCTCCCAAAGAAGAAGAAAAGGCTGAGGTAACGGTTGCTCCTAGTGAAGAAAAGAAAACCGAACAGCCAGAGGTTACTGAACGATCTACTGAAGTACCTGCTAGAACCACCGTGGCTCCTGAAGAAATCTCTCACGCTACTATTCCAGGCGAAGAGAAGAAAGAAACGCCAGTGGTTTCCACAGAAATTCCAGCTCAGACAACATTAACGGTATGTATTTATCACTTCACGAAGCCAATTCCGAGATTCAGCCACCCACCTCTTCCTGCGTTCCCAAGAGTTTGCACCAACATGCTTAACGCCTATCTTTAAAAAGAGATTAGTAGTTTGTTGGTTTTACAGGTATCAGAAGAAACTCAGGCTCCGGAGGAGGAAGAGGAAGAACATGGAATACCAGGAGAGGGAAGCTGTTTGGTGGAAGGACGGACCTACAAGAATAATTCGAAAGTCCCACCTCGTAACAAATGCCAAGTCGGTTGCAAATGTGTCAGCTCCATTTTGCAATGCAAACCTGTTGAATGTAGTCCACCACCTAGCAACTTACAAGACTGTGTACAAGTTCCTCCTTCAGTAGATAGTTGCTGCCCTACATATAGTTGCTGTAAGTATACAAAACCCTCAACGTTACAGTCTAAAATTAGTATTGAGTCATACTGTAAGTATGCTGATAATTTTGTAAGGAAGCATATCGCATTCTCGAGCTGAATGTTTAAGAACTACAAAACCCTGTATTCAATTTAATTAATGCTAGTTCATCCTTTTTCTACAGCTGAACCAGAAGCTACCAGTATGGAGTCGGATAGCCATGTCATGGAAACAACAACACCATTACAGAGGAGCGAACAAACCACAGCTGTGCCAAGCGCGGAAGTAGAAACTAGTCGGCCAAGCGAACAATTACCAACTGAATCCACAGTTTCTGAAACGGAACAACCCAAGAAAGAAACGGAGCAACCTTCTACAGGAAGTGAATCAACTGAAAAACCAGCTGGTTCTGAAATACCCACAGTAACTGAGAAACAACCTGAGGAAGGAAAGACAACTGAACATCTACCTGAACAAGAAACGGAAAGGCAACCAAGTACTGGGCCACCAGAAACCACCGAACGACAACCTGCTGAAGCTGAAACGGAAAAACCAAGTGAGGTAACAACTGAAAGAAAGCCAGAAAATGAAACTAAGAAGCAACATACGGAACAAGGCACTGAGAAACCAGAAGCTGAGGTAACCGAATCACTAGTTGAAAAAGAAACTGAAAGACAGCCAGCAGAGGTTGGAACCTCCAAATACCCAGAGACCCCAGAGAAGCAGGCTCAAGACACCGAAACAGAAAAGGCTACGCCTGAAAGCACAACTGAACATATGCCTGCGGAAGGAGAAACAGAACAGCCTATTGAGAAAACTCCAGCATTTGAGGGTACAACTGTTAGACCGCAAGAAGAAGGTCCAGAGAAACAACCGGAGGAGGCTCATAAAACCGAGAAACCTGAAGAAGGAACAGAGGAGGTACTAGAAACCGAGAAACCATCGGAAGAGGATCATACTGAAACGGTTCCATCTCTAACTACACAACCAGAGAAGATACCAGCAGAAAAGGCTCAGACTGAAAAACCAGAGGAAGCCGTTACCGAAGCGGAACATGTTACCCCTCACCGTGACGAATCTGAAAACGAACTGCCTGAGTACTGTGGACCAGATGGATGTATTCCTGTCCAGCCAGAACCTGACTGTGGAAAAGAGGGTTGTGCTACGCCACCACCAGTCAAATCAGAAGAGTGCGGAGAACAAGGCTGCATTCAGGTGCCAGTTGTCACTGCTCCAGCAGAATGTGGAGAAAAGGGATGCGCTGAAGTACCAGTTGTTCCGCAAGAGTGTGGGGAGCAAGGTTGCGCAATTCCAGTACCGGTACAACCATCACTGGATTGTGGAGAAGAAGGATGTGCTGGTGCAGTTACGGAACAGCCGAAGGAATGTGGGGAACATGGATGTGTTGAAGTACCAGTAGTGCCTCAAGAATGTGGAGAACAAGGATGTGCTCTGCCAGTACCAGTACAACCATCACTGGATTGCGGAGAAGGGGGATGTTCTGAAACAGTCACGGAACAACCTAAAGAATGCGGAGAACAAGGATGTGCTGAAGTACCAGTTGTGCCTCAAGAATGTGGAGAACAGGGATGTGCTATACCAATACCAGTACAGCCATCGCAAGATTGTGGTGAAGGAGGATGTCCTGGAGCAGTTACGGAACAGCCGAAGGAATGTGAGGAACAGGGATGTGCTGAAGTACCAGTGGTGCCTCAAGAATGTGGAGAACAAGGTTGTGCTCTGCCAGTACCAGTACAACCATCACTGGATTGTGGAGAAGGAGGATGTGCTGAGGTACCAGTTAAACCTCAAGAATGTGGAGAGCAAGGATGTGTTCCTGTGGCACCTCAACCAGATTGTGGCGACAAAGAATGTCCATCAGCACCTAAAGTACCTGTACCGTGTGATTCCAAGGAAGGATGTGAAGGACAAACGGAACCGTCTGAGCAACAACCTACTGAGCCAGGTCTGCCAACAGTAGGAACGGAAAAGGCCTTACCTGAAGCTACCACACTGAGAGGTGAAGAAGCGCCGACTAAAGCAGCTGAAGAGCAACCAATCACAACTGGTGCTCCAGCAGTTGAAGAAGCCACAAGTCCAGAAGCTGCAGTTAGCAAGTCTCCTGAAGAAATGGCAGCTATTCCAGAGATAGAGGAACCTGCAACTGGGCAAACTCTTTTACCAGAATCTGTGACTGATCTTATTAACAAGATATCCAATGAAACTACATCTGCTCCAGTAGAAGGAGAACAAACAACAACATCTCCAGTTACAGAAAAGGTAGAAGATGAGAAACGTAAACCTGAAGAAGCACAGCCAGAGCTTACCACAGTAAAACATGAAGAATCAAAACGACCAAGCACAGAAACGGTTGAAGAAATTACTACAGAAGCGATAGTCGTCACAGAGAAAGAACAAACCGCCACCACGAAACCGATCGAGTCTGCAGAACATGTAACTAGTGAGAAATCAAAGGAGGCCACAACAGTTCCAGCGACCAAGCCAGAAGAAGAAACGCCACAGCCTACAGTAGAAACAACACCTAAATCGGCAGAGGTGCCAAACGCAACTGAAGCACCAATTGGTGAAATATCTGCTCCAAGTAAAGAGAAGGTAGAGAAACCTGAACTAACAACAGCAACTCTTGAAAAATCAACCGAACCAGTTGTGAACATAGAGGCTACGACATCGCATGCAGTAAGTGAAACCGAGAAACCGAAACACGAAGCTGAAACAGAAAGAGCTGAAACTGTTACTACACCTAACACTCATGAAGCTGAAACAGAAGAGGCTCAACCTGAGGCTGAAACTGAGAGGATGAAACCTTTGACAGAAGCTCCATCTACAGAGGAACCAATACATGTAACGGAGGGTGAAACCGAGGAGAGTCCAGAATCAGAAACTGAAAAAGCAAGCCCCGAAACTGCGGGCCCAGAACATGTGACGCAAGAGGTAACTGAGATGGGCCAACCAGAAGGAACTAAGGCTCCAACGACTTTAGAGCCTGAACATGTGACCAAGGGAGCCGTTCTGCCAGAAGCTGAAATTAAGAAACCTGAGGCAGAAAGTGAGAAACCGGACGTAGAAACTACAGAAGGAGAAACTGAAAAGATCGAGATTGAGTCTGAAACTCCAACTGTTGAACCTGAACACGTTACCAAAGCTCAAACAGAAAAAATACAACCAGAAGCTGAATCAGAGAAACCTCAACCTGAAGAAGAGACAGAAAGGACGAAACCTGAGTTGGAAGCTTCAGCTACAGCTGTGCCAGAACATGTAACTAAGGCCGAAACAATTCAACCTGGAACCCAAGCATATATAACTACACCAAGTACTCGAAATGAGACAGAACCAGTCACATCAACTCCAGAGGAACCATTATCTAGGCGACCTGGTGAAGGAGAACCGTCAACATCGACTCCAATCTTTACCACTACTCAGGTAAGAAACTATATGCGAGTTACCAATGAACTTCCTGAAACTTAATTGCTACAGTTATTTTGGTCAAGTATTTTGAAAAACCTCACCTCTGAATCTCCATTGACCAGGTTCAACCTCAACAGACGACTCCTGTGCAAACGAAGCCACCGCATGACATCCACAGTGAGCAAGTCCCTGAGCTGCCTGACTACTCGCAACCTGAAGATTACGAAGACGAAGATCAAGGACCCCTTGGACCTGGAACCTGCCGATATGGAGGCAAGGTCTACGTGTCCGCACAACAGATTCCCCGAGATGATCCATGTGATTTCTGCTTCTGCTTTAGGAGTGACATTATTTGTTTGCAGCAAAGTTGTCCACCTCCAATACCAAGGTTTGTACTAGTTTTGAAATACTTCCTATGGAATATATTTTGGATAACCAAATCCCCGAAAGTTGGCCGCAATGGCAGCTATGTCCAATTTTGCTGCCGTCGTTCGGTTTATTTCCAGGTCTGCCGCCATGCTCAAAAGAAGTCGACCAAACCATTTGACTGCTAAGCTAAATTTATTGTGATACAAAAAAGCAAAACCAATGTGTCAAGTATTTAGAGCCGCTATTGAAATTTCGGCCAACCTATGGTAAAATATACAGCGCACGGCTATGGCCTGCCTGAATCTTTGCGTCAAGGCTAGTCAATTTATTAGTATCTTCAGGTGGTGGAGCGTTTCAAGTTGTCTGATAGGTATTACCAAGTTCAGGAACTTCTCAATATTAGAACGTCTTTCACTGATACCAAATATTTACAACCCTCTACCCCCCGAAAACACCAAACTTCCAATTTTCAACCCCTATAAAAATGTTTCTGAAAATGATCTATAGCCTTTGAAACGTCAAAAAACGAGGTTTGACCGGTACTTTCCAAGTTATAGCGGGGCCAATGATTAGCGGACAGACCGACATATTCCAACAAACAGACGGAAACAGGTGAAATAGCTATTCATCATGTATAGGTATGTCAAGTAACATCCAACAACGTGACATGCTACTTTCGAAAAGTTTTCCGAATACAATACTTCCTCGCCAATTTAACTGGAAAGTAAAAAAGGTAAACGGTTCCGTTCTGGTCATATACAAATTCACATATCTGCATCAAGTTCTTCTTTCACTCAGAACCGTTCATTTTGCAGATGTCACGAGGAGCCCATCCGCGGCTTCTGCTGTCCGAGGTACGAGTGCCCCGTCGGAATGGCAACGGCGCTGAATCTGACAACGTCGACGACAACGACGACCACGACGTTACCGCCCCATTTCTTGGCACACGCCTACAAGGGGCGTGCTACCAAGACTGGCTGTCAAATCCAAGGCAAGGCCTACAAGATTGGCGAAGTGATCAAGTCTGCTTCGGGACCTTGTCTGCACTGCACGTAAGTTCTTAATGACTATTTGAAGTGGTTCCAGCATCTTTGTGTTTTGAAAGCAAACATCTGGTCAATCTACTGTTTAGGTGGAAGTTCGTTACTTGGGTAAATCGGATCCGTAAGTCACGAATCAGTAAGATTGATGGAAGGGACCAAAACGATATTTTTTCCACTCAAAATAAAGTTTCGCACTACTTTAGTATGAAGTATAGTCTTGAATGGCTAGTGATAAAGTTATTAGGGCAATTTTTTATGTAAGAACCATTTTGTAATGTAGTCAGAAAAACTTTATTTATGCACGTGAACTGTATCACAAACTAAAATATGAACATTTTTTCAGTTTTCAACAAAGTCACCATACACATTCAAACATTTGTCAATCCGTGGCATCAGCTTTTGGATCCCGTCGTTAAAGAACACTACCGCCTGACCATTAAACCACTTAGCAACATATCATTAGAGTACATAGGTACATAATATTATCAGGATCTAAAACCTGTAAACCGTCAAAAAGTAAGGATGGCAAAATTGTTGTAGGAATGACAATTTTGGAAAGATTCAAAAAACAAAGCATGATTGCCTTAAATGGTTACTGAACAGAACTTTGCTGGTGCTATCTTAATGTCACACGATCAGTATTTACTGCTGACCGTACCAGTATTTTCTAATAATTCCGTTAGGGTCAGTGGATTAAATAACCATAAACATCAATAATAACTGACAATATGGCTACACGGTGAACAAAATACTACTGAACACTACAACACACACCACACTCCATGGTAAATACACAAGACAGTAGGCACTGATCGTGTGACATTGACCTTACATTGGCACACTTAAAAGTTCATGGCTTGTCATTCGACCCTACTCTTTTACGAAAAAATTCGAAAGGTTCTCTATCATCTCTTGTGTTGTATCTTGAAGAATTGGAACATGTGAATATAGATATAATAAAAATAGTCCGAACTCTTATTTGATGTAAAGAAATCTGCCATTAATATTTTTTCATGCATGCCGTCGGTTGAACGGATTGCTATACTAAGTGACATATAAATCCGAACACCCAGTTTAAATGGTTTTATTTTAATAAAAGTTGGTGAATGTACGAGGCGTGTTTTTAAAGTAAGTACCGTTTTTAAATTACGCCGCCGCAGCGCTGCGGTCGCCGTTTAGCGCACGCGCGTCGTGTAGCTACATCTGTTGGGTAGCGTCAGACGCCGTTACGGAACCATCCGATCGAGTCTACATCTGTTTGCGTGATTTTAAAATGCCTCCACCGATTGAGAATCCCGCCGCCTGCGAAGTGCGTGCTGTAATACGGTTTCCCTGTGCACAAAGCTTCAAATCAGTTGAAATCCGTCACCACGTCAGTGAAGTGTATGGTGAAAACATTATGAGTGATGGAATGGTGCGGAAATGGGTTAGGGCCTTTAAAGATGAGGAAGACCTTCAGTCATTACCGATGACCTGATTCAAAAAGTGGACTGTAAAGTGAGAGAGAACAGACGATTCACGATTTCGTCCTTAGCTGAACAGTTTCCTGCTGTCTCAAGAAGCGTTCTTTACGAATTGTGTCCGAACGTTTAAATTATCGGAAATTGTGTTCACGCTGAGTGCCAAAAATGTAAAGCAGTGGTTGTTTACTCAGGCGGCAAGTTTCTTTGACGATGGCATACAAAAGCTGGTCCCAAGATACGATAAATGCCTCAATCGTAATGGGAATAACGTAGAAAAGTAGAGGAAAGTATGGCCTTTCAAGTGAATAAATCATTTTTGGACAAAATTTACTTGTTGTTTTTTAGGTCAAAACGGTACTTACTTTAAAAACATGCCTCTTATCTTACTGTAAATAACAAGTGAAAAAATTTTCAGCCTTATCAGTTGGACATTCCGGTTTTTACACTGCTTTTTTTTAATTCACCAACGCTTTAAAAATGAATATTTCAGCCGCAGTAAAGAATCAACGTTGGCGGATTTTGGTTCTTGACATCCTTTACGATCGGTTACGATGCCTAGAATACGGAGACCTGTACGATTTCGTCAACTTAGGAGCCGTATAGTAGGACTTCGGGAAGCTGGACTTTCTTTTCGGGCAATTGCAGTTAGAGTGCAAAGAAGTGTAGACACTGTGGTTAGGTGTTGTCAGGCATGGCTTCGAGAAGGCCGTACGCAAAGAGCAAGGGGCACTGGACGCCGCCGTAGAACAACAGACCGTGAAGATCGCCGCCTAAGATTATTGGCCTTAAGGGACCGTTTCTCCACTACCAGGTCCATTGCAAATGAATGGTTTGCAGAACACGGAAGACCTATTGGCATGCGAAGTGTTTACCGACGAATGAGAAGTTTTGGCTTGTTTTCATACCGGCCACACTGGGTCCTCCCTTTAACTCGAGAACACCGACGTAATCGCCTTGAGTGGTGCAGACAACGGTCACTCTGGGATCAGGAATGGAACAGTATTATTCTAGAACCCCATCTTTTACCCTGTCTTGACACCCTGGCAGATCCAACTTTCCAACAAGATAATGCCCGACCACATGTTGCAAGAGTCACAATAGACTTCTTTCAACATAATGATGTCACATTGTTACCATGGCCACCAAGATCTTCCGACTTATCCCCAATTGAGCATGTGTGAGATATGATGCGTAGGAGATTGCTCAATTTGCAACGTCCTCCTCAGACTCTAGAAGCACTTCGAGAGGAGTTGGTGGTTGCCTGGAATGAGATACCACAGGAGGACATTGACCACCTGATCAGAAGCATGCCTAGGCGCGTTGGAGAATGCGTAGCACATCAGGGTGCATCCACACATTATTAAAGGTTAAAGGGCTTTAAAGCAGTGCAATCATTTTGAAATTTTTATCATTTACATTATGCTTCATTAAGTACTTATACAAAATTTTATTAAAATAAAACCATTTAAACTGGGTGTTCGGATTTATATGTCACTTAGTATATTTCTACCTTCACTTTTTTACGTTAGTATCGTTCAAAGACATGCGCTTGGGCTCAACTGCTCGGCTTCTTTTGAAATTATTTATAACAAGACTTTGTAGTGACCTTCAGATATCCTTATAAAAACCAAATAACCCTGGATTTGAAATCAGCGACCCAAAAAACCCGGCTGTACTGAATATTGTGCCGTAAAATTTCGTCTCACGAAAATGGATAGTCCAGTATCCTTGAGGCTAATCCATGTTTCTGTTTCCAGATGCGGTGGAGACGGTCAAATGAAATGTGATCCAAAAGTGTGCAGTCCAGAGCCAATGCTGAGGCAAATGATAGCAGCTGCGGCATCTAGGAGAAGGAGATGAGCCGTAGATTAGCTACGTAGTGAATGCAACAGTATTGTGCAAGTGATAAAGACGATTTTATATTAAATTATACACGAAACACGTTACTCTGCGCGCATTCGCTGCTCTCATGTCACTGATGCCCATAAGAGGGTCCTGATGGGGCCCAAATAGGGACATCAGGGGATTGAAGGACAGCGAGGAGCGTTCTCGGGTGCCAAAATAACGAACGTAAATAGGTAGTGTGCCTTGTGACGCGTGTGCTATGCCGACGGAATAGAAATGATACGGGAACATTGCTCTTACAAGCTACTAAAAGGAGGAAAAGATCTCAGTTCTACTTTGGGTTGTAGGCGATGAAATGTACACTATGAATACTGAAATTTAACAAGGTTGTTATGTAACTAGTTGTCAGACGTAATATACAGGGAACTCAAACAGGTTCCACCCCTAAACTTATTGTTGGAACGGGACAGGTCAGAAAGCTAAAATTGGGGACAATGAAATTTATACTTGAATAGTATATTTTAGCGTTAAGTTGAAAATTTCAAGATGGCGGCTAGGCGCCATTTTGGTAGATTATTTAAATTGAATGGGGGATTGAGTAATACCTTATTTTGAAGCTCTTTATGAATACATTACATCCAAGAAAATGTTACAGGATGACGCCCTGCAGCAATCTTGAAATGTTCAACTGTTATTTTCCAATTAAAATGTATCAATTTCATCCTCCTGAATTTCAGCCTGTTAACTTCAAGAGTTCAAGAAATTAGTGGGGAGGGGGCCTTTCTGAAATTAACTGATCAGTGTCACGGGTATCTTCAGCCATGTAGAGGTGCCCCTGGGCAGATACCTGTTCGAGGCCTGAAACTGAGGGGGGCCCCAGGGCAGAGCGAAATCAGGGGCCGTACTTTGCCGTTCGGAAAAACTGAAGAGCGGGGGAAATTTCATTTGGGGGTCCTCGATCAAGCTGTACGCTTGGGCACGTACTTTTAGGATGGAGGCGGAATATATGAGTACAGTTTTGAAGAGTTAGATAAGTCGCAAGTTCGTAACAATCTGGACTCACTCAAGACCTGTTATAGTGAGAAAGGAAAATACATGGAGAACATCTAATAAATTGCTTGATCGAATCCTCAACAATCTTCGAAATCAATTTTTCATGACACTAATGACGACATTTTTTTCGAAAAGTCTCGAGTGTCACAAGATATGATCGTGCAAATCATCTACGATGTATGGCAAAAGAACATTTTGACTGCAGGCAAACGAAACATGAGAACAAACATTAAAATGAAAATATTTCCTATCATCTACTAAATCCCAAAGAATACCTGAGATATTAGATTACCTTGCCATAATGTATATTCCTGTAAAAGCTTATTGAAGTACCGTGTCATACAGTGAGATAGGTCACACAATTTTCTGTTTATTGAAGTAATTTAGAAAAATTTTAAATGAACATTTCAAGTAGTTACTGAAACATGAAGAACCATGCAACCTAGTACGTGATTTAGGATTAAAATAAATAATTGCTTACTTAATAAATATACATCAGATAATAACGGTTTTATTGACCAATTTTACAATTTAACAGTATTAAAGATATATTATTTCAAAATATAGATCACAGGGTTTTTAGCTAAAATATAAATTATGGCAGGGTTATAACCCGCTATAGCTCTACAGCGTCAGAAAGTGGTTCGAGAGCATAAGATTCTGATGACATGCAAGTTACTAGAGCTAACTGACATACTGAAAAGACTGATGCAACCAAGCACCAAGCTTCAGATGTTTAGCCGTTGTCTCTAGATACCATTTTCCAACACTGTAATGTTATCTTGTATCATTAATTAACGTATTCTACTAGAAGATAGCGATTACCCAAATACTATATTCCCACGTCCGAAAAATTATCCGAGATAGGAGATACCGTAACGTCATCTATAAAAATCTGTCATAGCTGTGCTGTTTCTCTATTTAGTATTTATACTTTGAAAAGGCTACAACACTATCTATGAGACACTAACCTTTTGAAAGTATATACAGTAAACAGAGAAGCAACCGTGACAAATTCTCATAGATGACGCTACGGTATCACATTTTATTTCGGATGATGTTTTGAACGCGGGAATATAGCATTAGGTTGGCTGTTTTCAGGTAGAATACGTTCATAAATGCTTGTATGTAGTTGCCGCAGATTCCACGCTACAGATACGTCGTAAACCGTAAAAATATATACATACATCACACAGTGGAATCGGCTTTACCAATACAGGTATTATGGTGAAATTGTTTCGAATTATACAAAGTGTCGCCAACTTTTGGCCATAAGGTGGATGTCATCGTTAGGACAAGTGTAAATTATTAAAGATCGCGAATTTTACTATAATCTGAGGCATCATACTGTATTGTAGAAAATACGAAGCAAATATATATCCAACAATACCATACATAGGTAAATTACCTATAGTTTTGCACCCAATCAGGAATTTACCTTTATGCCTTTCCAGAAAATCAATTCTTTGTATAATGCTTACAAGGTCAGTACAAATAACGTGCACAAACTAGTCATAATTTGATGACAGGATTCAGAAATAGGCAAAATACATCGCACTAATATGAGTCATATTATTTTAGATTATTGTTGGGCTTCTCATTCAGTAAGTAATACTACTACATTATCGTCATTATGCACACTGTCACTAAAACGCATAATTATTTATTTAATAATAAAATCTAACTGTTAAACCAATATCTAATAAATGTTTTCTGTGATATAGACCAATATCTAACTTACATTCGTAACTCTATAATATCTGTCTCGGAAGCAACGGGATCATGTTAACTTTAACTTATTTCCAAACCACGAAAAAGTTTTCTAGCATATCTTTTATATTGCCTATTTCTATGAAGCATCAAATTCTGTAATTGTGTACATGAAAGTAATGGTATTATATGCAGATACCAACCAACATTGAAATAGATCATCCCATATATTTTTGATGTCTTAAGGGTGAATTTCTTTTCATATTAGATTTTTGACTACTAGACAGTTTCAAACCGGCAACGTATTTTGTATATTACAACTTATTTTATTTTGCAGATTGATAATACGGCTGATACTTCTGCATATAACGACCTATATTTCGAAACAAATTCAACAAAAACACAACTCGATGAATATTATATACTCGTAGTATATAAAGTACATCCTCAAGAAACTGTGAGTTTCACTACATGTGATTATTTATGTAAAAAATGACTGACGAAATGTTCACACATTTTATAATAAGAGTTTTTTTGGGGTATCTCTTTCTCTAAAAGCCATTTTATATACGCATCTATTTAATGTAATACGCGGGCTCATACTTATAGTGTTAAAATTTGTGTTGCGTATCCCAAACGTGCCTAAGTTGTTTGACTAGTAGAAAAAATATGCTGGTTCAGTTAACGGGAATGACAAAAATAAAATTTGCAAAAGATCAGGAACAGTTGACGATATTTGGGAAAAAATTGAGATTTTTACACCTTTTACAAGATTTCTGATTTGATCTTCAAATCTTAAAAACCAATTGCCATAGCAATACAATTTACTCCTCTTTCATCAACATTTTATGGAAAGTCATAAGTTGTTCAACCAATAGCCAGTAATATTCTTACGTTTAAGATTCTCAACCTGCTTAGTATATCATTTAGCTTGATTTGTCCTGATATTTTGTAAGCTAAAATGACGCCATTGACTGGACTAATTTATTTTTCACTGTAGTAGTTGAATTTTATTTAAACTTTTTCAAAATAAGTTTTCTGCTACTTGAACGCTTAGGCCGTTTTCTGTATATTAAAGGATGCTCAATGATATTATTAAGTAGAACTATATATGTAGTATTTATAATAAACAAATTGTATAAATGATATTAAAAGTGTAGTTTTTATAAAATTGATCCCTAAAGCTGTTTTAGTGATGAATGTAATACTTCAAAATCCTTTCTATGCGTATCCAAACATATTTATGTCAATTTTCTAAATGTGACTGTATATAAATTATGATTTTGTAAAATAGTATATATTTGTACGTTTTTTAAGAGCTTTTGTACGAGAAACCGGTAAAATATTTAATAAACCATTATAAATATATATCTTGACATTTTTGTTATATGCAGTTCTTTATAGAAGCAATAGAGGAAATACAGGGCATTATACCAAAAGAGGAAATAAAAAATGGAACTGTCACAGTATTTTTTATTGCACTTACGCGATGTGAAAGAACGACAGTATCATTGTAAATAAATTGAGGAAGGACGAAAAACCGTTTTTTGTTAGCTTGATCTGCAATAACTGATCCTCCCATGTGCAGTGGCGGCGCTAGCCCGAATATGGACGTCGCCACCTTGCGACTTCTTCATTTCGCAGTCAAAAAGAAAACGTTAAATTGAATGACCTGAATGGCCAAAATAAGTTAAACATGTAAGCGATTAGACAATTAATAACATATTGTTCCATGTGAAAAGAAACTTCTGCCTATGCGAGACTGCGAGTTTTGTGATGACCTGTTACTGACAGATAAATCAAACAAATATTATATTATGAAATGTTTTAGATCGATGTTCTCCGTCCACTAGATTTCTAAGTTATTAGTGAAGAAGTGGTGGAAACCTTACTCACAAAAGGGATTCCTTGATTCAAAAGCACAAATTCTCTTCAAATTATGACGTTGATTCAAAGTCACAGATGATTGAAATGAGGTAATACCATATTTCAAATAAAGTTTTTACAATTAATGAATGGCTCTCAGTTTAAAGAAATATGTTTTAGAGTTTTCGAAAGATATCATAGCCACGACCCTCAATTCACTATTATACAGGGTGCGGCAGAGAGGATGGGCGGTTTTAAAAAAATCATAAAGTAGTTAATTTTTACTCGAAAACAAATTTATTGATGGAATCAGGTTCACAAGGAAATATCATTTGAGACAGTCAAGTGTGGAAAATCACATCAGGCATGTGGTGGCCGAAATCGTGGATGCAGTGCTGGAGGCGTTCTTGGAAGTTCGCGTAAACTCTCTCCAACATCGCTCTCTCAACTTGGGCGACTTCCACGCGAATTTCGCCCTTCAATTCGTCCAGAGTTCGGAGCTTATTCGCGTACACTCTAGCCTTGAGGTGTTCCCATAAGAAAAAATCGCATATGGATAAATCTGGGGACCGAGGAGGCCAATGAACATCGCCAAACCTGGAAATAAGGCGACCAGGATAGAGAGGGCGAATAACGTCCATGGATGGTCGGGCTGTGTGGGCGGTCGCCTCATCCTGCTGGAACCACACACGTCGGATTGGAACACGTCGCCGTCGTAATTCAGGGAGAAAGAAGTTGATGATCATGTTGACGTAGCGCTCTGAGTTCACGGTAACATCACGACCATTACCGTCTTCGAAGAAGTAAGGGCCAATAATGCAAGTTTGCGATACAGCGCACCAAACCGTTGCTTTTGGGCTGTGCAGCGGTCTTTCGTGTAACTGTTATGGATTTTCATTAGCCCAATAACGACAATTCTGCTGGTTAACCATGCTGTTTAGGTGAAAGTGGGCTTCGTCACTCATAGGCGAAAACGCGGTGCTCCACCGTCCAAGGCTCCATAGCGACAACTAGTACAATAATGCTAGGATCTCACGAGTCAAACGGCACCCTCCCCACCTCTCTCATAGATGGAGGCGGAGAGTACTACCCATCCCAAAAACGTCCGTACTCTCTGCCGCACCCTGTATAATATATGGACTTGATCCAAGAGCATTTCTCTTAGTGTGCATGCAAAATTCTTATGGCCGTTTTTGCTTTCAGATTTTCACAGCACAAGATTTTTGTCTTCACAACTGTTTCACAGTTTTGTTCCAACCCATGGAACAATCACGCGCTTGTGCATTTAAGGGAAAGTGGTCCAACACCGCTCGTTATCGTAGCTGGACGATTCTACAATTTGTCCGAATCAGTTTTGGGATCGCTCTGGAACAGACTGTTGAGGTGAATTTGGTATTTACAAATTAAGCAGAATACAAGCGTCACAAGTATTTACATTTCTTAATTCAAGAAGTCCATAACGGAAAATGTTATGCTAAAATTCAAAGAGAACTATAAAAGTTTTGCAATATGACTTAACAAACGGACACAGGATGTTGCATTTTACCGCATGTTTAGACATGTCCATAAGTGCAAAGTAGCCGCCGGCAGCACGTCTGTTGTTTTAGTTGTTCATTCGTATTGAAAGTGTAAAGTGCGGACTATGGCAACGTGGTAACGTTGTGAGATAAGGGCAGTTGTACGGTATGACTTTACGCGTGCTTTAAGCATAGACCAGTGCTTAGAAGAAATGACGCTTGCATTAAAGAATGATTGTCCTGATCGTACGACTATATTCCGGTGGTAAACAGAATTCCAAAGGGACAATTTCTGTCTGGAGAACGCCGAGAGGTAAGAAAGACCGTAAACTTCAGTAACAGAGGAAAACATTACTGCTATAAGGATAATGCTTGACGAAGACCGGAGAGTGACATACCAACAGATAGAGGAGACCTTACACCTTCATGCACAATTCATTCAATTCTGCATGACCATTTGCATGTAAGGAAACTTTGTTCTCTCTGGATACCGCATACTCTGACAGAACAGCAGAAAACTCGACGTACGACTTGGTGCCTAAAGATGCTGAAAATGTTTGATAAGGGGCAATCTCAGTATGTGAAGACAATAAAAGTAAATCTATGTGGGTGATATGTCATGAAACCACCAATCATGCTTAAGACCAATGACTGTTGATGAAGTGTGTGAACTGTCGAGTAGGATCAAAATAAATTCAGCTGTGGTATAGATGAAGTTCCAACAACAATAGTAAAACTTTCCATTCCAGTTTTAAAACATGTTTTGTGCTTACTTATTAATAATGCTTTTCGACAAGGATCATTCCCAGAGAATTTGAAAATAGGTGTTATAAAACCAATTTTTAAAAAAGGTAATCCAGAGCAATTAGAAAATTATAGGCCAATCAATATTTTAACAGGTTTTTCAAAATTATTTGAGTTAGGCATCAGGTAGAGATTACTAGAATTAATGAATGATTGTGATTTATTTAATACACATCAGCATGGTTACCTACATGGAAGATCAACAGATACTGCAATCTTTCAATTTGTTCAAACAGTACTTAAGCAATTAGAGGAGGGAAACTTAGCGGTTGGTTTCTACCTGGACTTGTCCAAAGCTTATGATTGCATCAACAGAGACATATTGTTATTAAAGCTACAAAGATATGGTGTAAGAGGAATTGCGCTAGAATTGTTCAAGTCATACCTCTATAATAGACAGCAGAGGGTTGAAATTGTTAAAGGAGGTCAAACTTACAAGTCAAACATTGAGTTGACTTCAACTGGCATAGCACAGGGTAGTATACTTGGGCCCATTTTGTTTGTAGTTTTTTTAAACGATCTCTGTTTTGTTACTAGTGGTGATCAGAGCAAGCATAAAATTGTCTGCTATGCTGATGACACAAATTTAGTGTTGGTTGGGACAAGTGTAGAGAACCTAACTGCTAATGGGAATCACTTATTCAGAAGTGTGAATACATGGTTTTCTGAGAACAAACTAGTGCTGAATAAATCCAAAACTGATGCAACATTATTTAGAACTAAGCAGAGTAAAGTAGTTAAGCCACAATGTACCGATATAGATGATCATCAACTGCAGTTGAGTGAAAATGTAAAATTCTTAGGCATCTATATTGATGAATTTTTAGATTGGAGAACACATGTATTCGAACTGCTGAAGAGGCTCAATTCCATTTGCTATGGTTTTAGGGTAATATCAAGATATCTAAATAATACGAGTATGAAAATATTGTACCATGATAATTTTGAAAGTGTTCTAAAGTATGGGATTATTTTTTGGGGACGCAATAGGTTTATTCAAAATAAATTTGTGGTTCAAAAAAGAGCAGTACGTCTGCTAAAGGGATTAAATTTCAATGAAACTTGCAGGGGGGTGTTTAAAACTGAAAAAATCATGACTATGTATGCCATCTATGTGTATGTCAAATTTTTTTTCAAAAATAAAAATTTATTTGAGCTTGATGTGCAAACTGTTTATGATACTCGAACAGTCAATGTTACTTATCCGATACACAGATTATCCTCCACAGAAAAAAGCCCTATTTACATTTTTTAACAATCTACCAAATGAAATTAAAAACATAAACAGTTTACATAAATTTAAAAAGACTATTAAGCAATTTCTAGTACAGTCAGAGCCTTATACAATAGATGAGTTCTATGGGAGTTGTAATAGTTTAAGATTGCAGCTGTTTTAAGATAAATAACCACGTAACACAAAAAAAGGTATCAGGTAAACTACTATAGTTATGGTGATAGTGACGTAACATTTCATTTTGTAGTGGCTATACAATGTTTGTAATGTCATTGTACAATTTGGAATATATATAGATTATTATTATTATTATTGTCGGTGAAATAATAGATTTTAGGGACAGCTATTGGGAGAAATGCCAAAAGAGATTTACTCTAATCTTCACAAAAGGTTACCAACCAGGTCAGAAACGATTTGGAAATAGTCAGCGCATGCGTATAAAATCGTGCCAAGTAGTACTCGAAGTCAAACGATTCTAATGCGGTACCAGAACTCAAGGCTCGGTTGGTGGAGAGACCAGCTTTAAAGTTGATACGCGCCAGGTAAAATAAAGGCCTATTATTAAAACTATCGTAAAAATCCAATCCAGTATAATTTGTTACTCAGGGCTTCTAGGTAAACTCACAAATACATAAAACATATATATAGATTTTTTTCAATAAAATATTAAAAATTAAATAAACAAAGCAATATTGTACATAATTATCCTATGTATACATAAAATTCACGAATCATCTTCCATATGAACTATGTACTCTTCTGGCATTAGCTCTTTCAACTTGTTGTGTGCCTGTTCTGTTGATTTTTCATCATGGGACTCAATTGTCACTTTCACTTTGTACTTTCTAGAAGAGATAGGAAAGCTGGTGACAAAATACTGTCGAACATGTCATTGTCTTAGTTATAAGAATGACATATATTGACAGCTGCATTACATGAACAAATGATATGACCTAAGAACTGATTGACCAAAAGACAAATTATTTTATTCTAAGAAAAGTATCCAAAATATTTAGATTCACACTCTTTGGTATAAAATTATGAAGGAAAATCTCAAAAATAAAAAAATCAGTACAATGCTTCTGTGAAAGTACTACAATGCCCGATTAAGATTGGCTAAAGTTACCTACATATCTTGCAATGTTGGATATGATCCAAACTGAACATCAGGGTAGTCTTCTGCAAGCTCCCCTAATAGCTTAGATATACTTTCTTCAGTGGCAGTTAAATACACAGCTTTTGTATAAAATTTCCTATTTGACTTGAATAGGACCGTCTTTAAAGATCCAAATGATTTTCTTAGTAGTTGAGGGATACCAGGGAATATATACACATTTTTTATAGAAACATTTGGATACACCATTCTAACCCCTTCTAATGTTTTGAATGTTAATTTGGCTGATTTTGGTATCTGAAGTTAACAAAAAAAAATGTAAGAGATATTACAAAAGTTACATTTTATTTATATTTTTTTAAATTGGATGCTTACTTTGGCTAGTTTCATTCCAGGTGCATTCACATCATTTGTTTTATAAAAATTCATACAAATGTCCCGTAATTCTGGATCTAGAACCAGAGGTGCGTTAAATGCTAATGCCACCCCTAAAATTTCAAATTTCAAAATCACGTTATATATACAATTACAGTGTTCACAATTTGTAACAGACATAAAAAAATACTTAGGAAATCATCCTAGTTTTCCTGGTATTGCTTTTGACCAAGTAATATAAGTTCCAAGAACCAACCCTTTTGTTAGTCATTTGAAGGATAAAATTTGTCTAATATGTTTTACCTTCATATGTAACATCATCATGTGTGGGCCCAATTCCACCAGTAGTCAGGACATAATCATATGAATCTGAATAACACCTAACTTCATCACATATTTCCTTCACATTGTCACCTATAACTGAAATCTATAAGCATTAAATATATAAATCCAAGTATAACACTCAATCAAATACAGATAAGATGTAAGATATCTCCAAGAAATTATTTTTGATTTATTTGCATATAATGTGAAATATGAGGGCCCATATTACGACACTGAAAATTTGTTACGCCCACAATAGACTTCACAAGGCATCTGTAGAGAAAAGACGCACTTTACAGACATTTTTGTTGGAGATTCATATCTCAACTCAAGTCAAACTTCTTTTTCTTCTACATAATACTAGTTTCTTTTATTCCAGTCCATTCCCCTATCAATTTGTAAAATGTCCTACCAAACATCATAGCACTTAATGGTCAATTTTGCGTTTGCCCTGTATAAATTCGCATTAATATTTATTAGTTTGTAGCATCTGATATCAAGACTTTTTCAAAACCTAGGGAGTATGGACTGAATATTATGGAGTTTTGAAGTTTATGTTATGGTTGCTATTAAAAGAATAGTTGAATATATATATAATCAAATATACTACGTAAGTGATCTGACAGATTAATGACTCTACTGAAGCTCATATCGATTAAGATGTTTGTAAAAATATTGTCAAAGCAAGCATTCCCTCCAGTATTTGTTTCTATAGTGGGGTGTAATCCATAATATCATTCGCTAACTTATTCACAAGGAAAAATAAATCTGTTGAGTCAGCATCTTATCAACTTTTAATTTTTGTCTATGAACATTTAGACAATAATCAATATGTAGGAACCATGTTTGTTTTAGCAAAAGCATTTGACAACCTTAACATCACAATAATCCTGAGTAAACTTCATTAGCTGTGCATAATATGGTTACTTCTGGTATCCTTAGGCATTCCACAGCGATCATTACTGGGACAATTAATTTTTATTCTTTTTGCGAATGATCTCCCCGAACAGGTAAAAACAGGAAAAGTAGTGGTGTTTGCAGATGATACATCTTTACTAGTGTATGGGATATATGTGAGAAGTTCCTTTCAATCTGCTTGGCCAGCATCCAGAAAGACTGACTGCCAATGCTATGACATTACCCTGTGCCTCAAGCTTCAAGGGTATCAACATATTGAAGTGTCTTAAATTAAAAACCTGCGGCATCTCTACAAATTTGGTATGAGAAGAACCTAAATGTTAGCTTACCTTTTTTAACTGAAGACCCAGTTTATGCAACTCCAAAGCTAAGTAAGATGAGTTAGTATCTACTACCTGTCCTTTGAGAATCTCATCGCCAATAACTGAAATATTCAACAATTTGTAAAATCTTTTTGCTACTCCTTTTCAAAATCTAACCTATAATTCCTGCTGTGGTCGACTTAGCATCCCTGGTAGTGCATAATAGCCTGAAAATGGTCTTTCTAAAAATAAATGGTACTTTAATGCCCATTTTTTCTGGCTCAAGATCATCTGCTTTTACAAATTACCCTACCCATAGCAAACGATGAGATTTGCAAAAATGCAAATCAATATTTGCAACTTAGGAATGTTATGACTTTTGAATTTTGACATATAATCACAGGACACCAAACAACCATTTAAACACCCGTTATCAAGAGCCAAGAGCCAAATCCAAAAATTGGGCGAAATTCTATAGCAAGTGCTTCTTCTAATCACAAATCTGAAGTTCGAAAAAGTTATTCAGTAAACGGCTATTACCTTTATCGTGTGCCACGTGCCCAGTTAACTGTACCTTGTACGTGGGCCTGGGGCAAGTGTTTACCAAGAACGACGTCTGTGGCTAGCTTTATACGAGAGTATGCCGTTCTGTGGCAGACATCAGGAAAAGCTTGGTACCTCAAGGTCAAGGCGCAATTCCAATGAGGCAACTTTCGGGCAGCATGGAGCATGATGTAGTAGAGTTCCATAGAGGCAACACAAAACGACAAAACATATGTCTCTTTGTCTCAAGCCATAAGTTGCCCGTTGTTGCCTCTCGAGAGCGCCGTCAACGAGATGAATAGTGTCGCCGGTTATCCAAGCCCGTTCGGATCGGCGCGGCTTGGAGCAGGCACAAAATGGAGTGGACCAATGAAATAACATTATGTTTAATTGAAGATTACCATAATTCGGGTGAGTTATGGAACAACAAATCGGAAAGATATAAAGATGCGCGACTAAAGCAGGATAAATTACGGAAATTGTCAGGTAAATATAATTATGGCAAGCCTTGTAAGATGATGAGGCAAAAATAGTTGGCTTATCTCGTTTATCAATGGTTAATTTATTCAAATAGGAAAATACAACTTTTCTGTTTTGGAAATAAAAAAATACATAAGCGATTAATAACTATCACCCGTAGCTAAATATGTTAATGTCACTAGCGATCTCACGCGAGGTGTTACTGCTTCCAAAAAGTTGGTATCACAGTTTCTTATCATAGGAAAGATTTTTCCAAGCAAGTAGTGAAAATCGTCTTTACTCATCCGTGTGAAATTTCGGAATAAAGCATCACCTTCAGCCACCAAGTTGTTGTACAAATTGTACTGAATTCTTCTCTATTTTCTGGCATTTTTTTCCGATCCATAGGAATGAATAAATAAGCAGCACTATTTGTGATGGCATGACGTACTAAACTGAAGTTGCCTGAATTGAATCGTGAAGACGCATGCTTCACTCATATACGATAAAGCGCATCCCACATAGGGTAACAAAATCCGCATGCGGCATTAATCGAGTTTTGGGCAACACTGTCGAACGTCAACAAGAGGCAACACTAGGAAACGAGTAGCATGCCACATGTCGTTCACTGTGGCCTCAGTAGAATCCCACCTTTACACAAGTACATTACATTTTAAAAATCGACAGGCAGCTGACAGCTGACATTTCTCTGTTTTCTTTTTTGGAAAATAGAAGGCAGCTATTCAAGAAAATACCACAGGAAAATGTAAATACTGCGTTGCAGCAGCAAATTATGTACTGCCTGCAGTGGCTGATCCCAGTCTTATTGATGCCAAAGCCTTCCAACCCAGCGCTGGTACACACACATGTAATGTTCATGGTGCTTTATCTGGTCGGATTCTTTTTGGAAAGAAAACCATGCACAATTTGCAGCATCGTGTTCCTGGCGGCAGTATTCCTGATTTGCTACAGCGGTATAGGTAACTGCTTGATATGGGCGTCGCACTGTGAGAATGACAATGGATAGCTACGCACATCACTATGAATTTATGGAAATGGTTATAGATAGGATGACTGCTTACTAATCAATAAGTAAAGGCTGTTATTACATTGTAAACATTATTGTTGAAACTATATTTTTTATAATTTTACCAAATGTACATATGGTATTGACTAGGCAGATTATTCCATACCAAAGATTTTATTAGTCTACCTTGCTCCAGCTCCTGAGTTCATTAGTAACATAGGACATTCGATTATGTGTCAATTGGATTCTAGTTATTGAGAATTAAATGTTTTGTTTTGCAATTAAATGTATATCATTTAGTCTCTATACCTATCCCAAACTATTGATTAACATATTCTGCCTGATATGTTAACCAATGCCCAATCCCATTTTGAAGATTGTATAGAGTGGGATAGCAGCAAGTGGGGGCGGGCTGCACCAGGTTTCACCTTTTTTGGGGTGACAACTTTAAGGAGAATGTACGAACATAAAAGAAATCGTTAGGACAGCTGTCTTCTTCGGTGATTCCTCAACAAGCACTAGCTCAGCTCTATGTATAATTTGGAGATTCCCCCAAAATCAGAAGACTACAATATGCCAACAGAAAGATAACCTCATTGTAAAAAACGAGTGGTTGATGAGATGGCCAGTGATGCAGGACTCACACTTAAAGAAGAACTTCAAAACGGTATGTTGGAATGTCTTGACAGATTCGGAGCTGAACTCCAGACAAGATCAAGTCCCTTAACGACCTAACTTCATTGTTCGAGATCGTACAAACAAATACTTTGCGTTTGGCGAATACTGAAGAACTGAAATTAGATACATCCAAGTTAACTGATTTTTATGATGAGGTCTCAGAAACAGAATTACTTTTACCAAGACTGCGATGATACTTAAAAGCCAATAATGTTACAGTTTCTGATTGGGCACCTCTAGATTTTTTAAAGTTTATTGTAGAATGGGATTTTACAGAATCTCTTCCAAATCTTATGTTTGCACTAAAATTTTTCATGACGGTTCGCGTGTCCATAGCTTCATGTGGAAGGAGTTTCAATAACTAAAATTAGCTTAGCAATCTTGGTATATTAGCCATCGAACACGAGGCAATACAAAATATAAATTTTGATGAAGTTATTTCTGAGTTTGCAGCTGTCAATCCTAGTAACAAGCGATTTTAATTGTAAGATAAAAATATTTTTTCAGTCTTAGTTTTTATTGGGTTTTGTTATTTGTTCAATATTTTAAATATAAATATATCATCCATGACGTTTATAAATTATATAAAATGTATTGCTTTTGACTTTTGATGGGGTGACACCACCTTCGCACCGGGTGCCACCCAAGGTAGCTACACGCCACTGGTGTACATTAATGCTGTATTCAAGGCAAAAAGGAAATGCTAAGTCCAAAAATGGAAAACTGGTGTATCAGAAAAATAAACACTTTAGATCATATCAAACTTCTCTTGATCCAAGTGTCCAAAGTTGCAGAACAAGCACAATGAAGATGTACAGTATCTAAAATTAATGCCAGTTCAAAATTTGTTTATCCTTTCTACTCTAAGCAAATTGCACTAAATTCCTCATGTTTTTGTCAAAATTAAAGAAAATAATTGACTATATAGACAAATAAGGTGGATCAAATTAACTAAGATGCAACAGCAATCTTCAATAATGCTTTTTCAAAAAATATTTTAGTTACCATACTGTTATGTGTTTTCAGCCTTGAAAATATCCAAGTAGGTATAGGCAATCTCAAATCAATTCATATTCAAGAGTTATTTGTAACAAGTAACAAAAAAAAGCTAAATAATTTTTTGTAAAGTGCAATTTTACGTTTATCTAGTTTTTCCATATAGCCGCCTCCGTCCTTCAATGTTGGTACCTAAAAACTTAGCTTGGACTAAACTTCTTAATCGGTTTTTTAAATGCAATAATCTAACCAATCAGGGGAGAAATGAAATAAATAAAGATATCATACAGTTGCAATCTTTATTCGCCTATCACAAAAAGTTGAGTGAGATGGTTTAAATTTAGGTAAAAAAATAAGGGAAAACTAATGGCTTTAACACAGTGTACGCAAATAATATGTAAAGAAATAAATAGAAAAAAATCAGTCACTCAAAAGACATCAAGTTACTTGGAAGTGCTACTTCTCCACCACTGCATGCTTGCTGTAGATACTTGTACCATTTTTCAGCCAAAGCTCGATTTCCAGCTCTAAATTTGTAGATATTGCCTGAAAAAATAAATGTGTTTGACAATTTTAGAATAAAATTTAAGCTATAAATAATAAATACTCAGCAAATAATTTCTCTAAGAAATTAATTCAAAACCAAAGGGTAGCCAATAGTTTAACGGTTCGCAAGTATTTACTAGTCGACTATCTGTCTGCTTTTGACTTATTTATTTGTGAATTACATATGCGATTGAAAATTCTCTCTGATATCAAATATTTCTGTTTTTATCTTACCTCTTTGGTGATCAATCATTTGAAACGAATCCTGTTGCAATGAATCTTCCAAGATAACCTGACAATTCACTAAAGACACTAATTTACACGGTTCTCTCTTAAAATCAGATCTTTGGCATCTACAAACGAGAAACATTAGTAACAATAATAATATACATTCAAATGTTTGTTTACCCCTTAAAACTTTTAGGCGAAAAATATACTAAAGACGTTGACCAAAGCTGCAGCCAGTATCGTTGCCATGACGACACTGTCGGCTTTCGACCTTCCTTCAAAATCGTTTTCCTTCTTACACAACCTTGCATAAGGCAGCTGTTTTCTTCTGAACTTATAGAATCTTCAGACAACCTAGAAGTAATTTGTATCAAGAAAAGAGGGTCGAAATATCGTTTCAAAAATTCTATTAAAAAAAGTCCTTGAAGTCAAGTGAAGAATGCATTTGAATCTGAATATTGCACACATATTTTCTACACAAGTTTTATCGATCTTGTATGACCCCTGGAGGGTTGATATCCGACTTCACATGGAGGTAAATACAACTGGCAACCCGGCAAATTGAAAGTAAATGCAACTGACATTCCCTCTGTGACAATAGTTGCGTTCGTTTTGTAGGTGAGGTGAGACACTCTGAACATATGATACCAGGGGGGTGAAACTCATATGGGTGAATGGGAAACAAAGCAGTGCTGCAACTGACGTTGTCTGATTGGTCAGATTTAAATTTCCGGCTGGTTTCTTCCTGTGGCCGTGCTTTACAAAAATAACTTCACTTTTTCCGCTAGCCATTTTCTTTGTGAGTCATAAATATTTTATTTTGATTAAATAAAGTCCCTATTATGTTATTTGAGACATATGCCTTTTGTTCAGAGTTGTGAAGTATAAAAATGTAAGTACCCAAAACTGTAATGTATTTGTAAATAATATAAGACAAACTCCAAATCAAAACTGTTGCTTTTTTAAGGTCATCCAAAGTGATCCCAGTCAGTAGCCTAGGCTACTGCAGATGCTGAGGAAGATCAGAGATGCAGCGGTTACTCATTTGAGGAGTGTAATATTTGAAGATCATACCTGTTGGAATCTCCACATAACTTTAATTAATTATAGTTTCACGTGTAGGCACCTGGGGCACCTCTTGATCGGGGAATGTTGTATCGTGTACAAAATTTCCGAAGGGCAGCTGCGTATGAATCACTACTCTTAAAAGTAAGCCTCGATAGCAAAAGCACCTTTCGCTCCGGTCCAACGTTCCATTCTGACATATTTAACCCGCACGCGGAACGCGTCGATCTAGACTTCTCTCCACTTCCTCGCATATACGGTTGCCGTGTAATTCAAATTTGAAATGTGAACTTTCCCACTGGATCATTAGTAGGGAACATTATAACAAAGTGCCATACCGTTTTAGCAAATTTATGTTGAAAGTATGGTTTGGTATAATATAACATACGGTCAAAAAACAATTATTACATTGGAAAATTGAAAACACTGATATTGTAAAAACTCCTTTTGTTGTAGGTTTAAGACTAAACAATAGAGCCAATCAAGGACAATCTATTTTAAATCGAAGTGATGCGCGACTTTTGTTATGTTCATGGTAATTCAATATTGTACTTAAGCTAAATAAATAGCCATTCTATAATTTGTATCAAGTGACACATTAAAAAAAAGCGTCGTACCTAGTGAGTAAAGCACAATTATCAGCGCTGCTTTGTGATGCCTGAAACGGCAGTTTCATTGTTGGTGATGGCAGACCATCTAAATTCATGGACACTCTTCTAGAAGAATCTTCCAACTCCGAGTCATCTAACAGATGAAGCGTCTTGGGTAGATCTTCTGGATCAACTTGATTTGTTTTGTTGAAAATACTGTAATCCCGAATATAAATATGGATCTTGCTATCAAAGATATCACGTAGGACTACATTCATAAAGCAACAGCGAAAATAATAGAATGGATAATATGAACATGATGCATAAAGTTATACAAAAATAATAAATTAATTTCCACAATAGATAAAAAAGCCTTGCCTAATTTGGTTTACATATCCAGCTGTACACAGAGCTTTGCTTTGGTGTTTATCATATTGGATAAGAAAATGCTTTATAAAGGGTGTGTCAACAAGAGGACCGGATTTGAATTTATCGCAATTTTTTTTTACAAATGGTATGGTGTTTACTTGACGACATCTGTCATGTCCAGACCATGCGATTAGACGTCATGGAGCAGTATTCAAACGAGCAACGTTTAATTATTGTGGAAACTCACTACAAAAATGGAGAAAACGCGGAAACAGCAAATTACGTACAATTTTAGGTCTCAATAATGCGAAAATGAGTCGACATTGCGCATTGTGGAGTGGCGGAGTGATTGGACCGAGTTCTTCGAAAATGCGGTAATTCTTAATGGTGTGCGGTATCGCGAAACGTTAACCGAGTTTTTGCGGCCCCAATTGGATCGAATTGATGTGGAGGATATGTTCTTCCGACAAGACGGTGCGACCTGCCACACAGCACGCGAAACTATGGTGTTACTGCGGTTTCCAGTCCGTGTCATCTCTCGGTTTGGCGATCAAAATTGGCCACCAAGATCGTGCGATCTAACGCCAATGGACTTCTTCCTCTGGGGCTATGAGAAGGAAAAGGTGTATGCGAACAAGCAACAAACAGTTGAACGCCTTAAAGAAGAGAGCAACAGATATGCTAAATGAGATGAGCTGCAGCGTCAGCGTAGCTCGAGGCTGCCCACATGGCGGAGTTCTGTCACCCTTACTGTGGTGCCTCGTGGTCAATGAACTCCTCGTTAGGCTAAGCAGTGCGAGTGTCTACGTGCAAGCATATGCTAATGACGTAAACATAGTAGGTAGAGGTCATTTTTGTGGAACAGTCTCTGAGATTATGCAAGGCGCTTTGCGCGCTGTGGAATCATGGTGTAGGGAAGTGAATCTTTCGGTCAACGCTGGAAAGACCGAGCTGATCCTATTCACTAGGAGAAGAAGGCTTGACGGGCTTGTCTTGCCGACCTTCTTTGTGAGTAGATTAGTTCTATCCCAGTCAGTAACAATATCTAGGAATTATCCTGGACTGTAAACTGAACTGGAGAGAGCACGTTGAATTTAAGGTTAACAAGGCTCCCAATTCATTGTGGGCTTGTAGACGCGTTGTTGGAGTTCGGTGGGGGCTCAAATCCAACGTGGTTTACTGGCTCTACACGACAATAGTGCATCCATCTCTCTTGTACGGCTCCTTGGTTTGGTGGCCTTGCATTGGAACTGACGAATAAGGCCAAATTCATTAAAATTCAGCGATTGGCCTGTATTAGCATTACAAGCACAGTGCGGACAACGCCATTGAGTGCAATGGAAGCTCTGCTGAATCTCCCGCCGTTGGATCTAGTGATCCGTGGAGAGGCGAGAGTAGTCGCACATCGACTGTGGAGAGGGCAGCTGGACCTTCTTGAATCACGTCAAGGGTCATACTGCCATCCTGGTCGAACTGTAAAGGGAGGATCCTGTCCTTCTGAACAGGGGCGATGTAGTTACCACTAGGTATCGCTTCAATCGCATGTTCAATGTGGAGTATCCAACGAGGGAGGAGTGGGACACCGGCTACCGGAGGCTCACTGGAGTGAGTGGGCAAGTCTGGTACACGGACGGCTCGGTCACCGAAGAGGGCTCTGGCGCCGTGGTCTTGGGGCCTAGGACTAGGCTAACTCTGCCTCTTGGTGGATACACCACGATTTTCCATGCAAAAATCGTTGCGATTCTGGCTCGTCTATCCCTCATTTTGGAGAGGGGTGAGCCTAGGAGAAGGATAACAATCTTCTCCGACAGCCACAGTGCAATGAAGGCACTAAGTGCCTGTAAGATTACTTCGAGCCTTGTGTTGCAATGCAGGGAGGCTCTGGATTGTCTAGCAGCGAGGCATCCGGTATCGTTAGTGTGGGTACCGGGGCACGCTGGGATAAAGGGCAATGAGACGGCGGACGCTTTGGCGAAGACAGGATCAGCCAGCAAGCTCGATGATGCTGAGCCAGCTTTAGGGGTGCCCGCGCTAAGAGTTAGGAGGTAAACGGAGAAGTGTATTGCAAGACAACACTCTCAGAAATGGAGAAGCATCTTCATACATCTACGTCATGCTCGGGAACTCATTGCAGGGACCAACGCTAAGGATGGGCGTTTCTGCTTATCTTTGGATAGAGCCAACCTAAGGTTGCTGGTGGGACTGTTGTCTGGCCATAACACATTAAGGCGCCACCTAGACGTGATGGGGGTGGCTGAGGATCCCTTGTGTGAGCGCTGCGGGGTAGAAGAGACATCGGCGCAGGTTCTGTGTCGCTGCGAGGCTCTTAGCTACTACAGGCAGACTATACTGGGGTTCACCACTTTGGGCTCAAGGCCATACTCAACTTCGCTAGAATGGAGGTGCACAAGGGCCCATCTGAGTGGCCTATGCGCTGGCTCCTTATGGTAGCCGGTATGCCTCTAATTTCGTGTTTTCATTCATTCATTCATAAAGAAGAGATACGGCTCGTTATCCACGAAATAGAGCCACAGTTGTGGGAAAAGGTTATCCAGAACTTTAAGCAAAGACTGACCCTGTGCCAGAGGTTTCGTGGTGGCCATTTACCGGATTTCCTATTTCATGTTTAATCGCAACTATTCCTCTTCATGTTGACATATAAATACTCGCTTAATCGGTAAAAGAAATTGAGTTTTTCTTGAAAATCAAATCCGGCGCTCTTATTGAGACATCCTTTACAAAATATATGAAGTGAATATATATAACTGCAAGTGTTTATCTTGAAATATCTTCTGCAGTATACTCTGTGGTACAAGTGGAAAGCTACCAGTCTCGATTTTGATCTACTTTTGAACTTACTGTGCATTACTTATAAAAGTTCCGTTCGTACAGCAGTCGTCAACCTGTCAATGACCATGTCCAAGATCCCGCCACACAAATTTCGCTCATTCTGATACGCTATACATATAGACGAAATACAGACTGCCGGATCCCAGACACAGTTTACAAGTCACTGACCACTGAACGAACAAACTGAAAAAATGCACTAACTTCCAATACAACAACGAACCAAACTACAACCATAATATTTTTTTCTTAGATAGCAATCAAATGATCATTCATAACTTCACAAATATCTACATATCGGTCTTTTCACGGTATTTGGCGGTAGCGCCGCAATAAAATGCAAAATAAATCAACAGATCGACTAACCGTGCCATGTGCGGAGCTTAACTTCCCTAACGGAAATTTCACATTGCATAAGCCGATCCTTAACGCAGCTGCTACTCGCTCTTGCACACAAATACATGAATTGAGTGACCGTTTTCGTTCACTTTCTAAAAATACTCCAATACATTTTAACTGGACTGTCGACATTGTAGTTGCATCTTTAGGCATTGTGTTTTATATCGAAGATCAATAAAAGGTTGTCATACTAACAGTGACAAGCGTAAATGTAGAAGAGTTATACGTTGACAAGAAAATGTTCAAGGCGAGGAGACAACACTAAAGTGTGTCTTTCAGCTTGCATAGAGACGATTTGTATATATTGTATACGTGTATCAAAGTAATTCCTTCAGTGTGACCCGCCAAAAACCATGAAAAGAACTATAATATACAGGGCGATTCACAAGTCGTGACCAAAAATGAAACATCATACACAGGACCGCATTTTAAGAGCGGTCTTCTATGTAAAATTTGAAGTTTACAAATAAAAAACAATTTTTTGAATATCTTTAAAACCGTCAACTGAAATGAACTAAGATTTGGTATGTGGATTTACCTAGGTATTTTCCACATATCGTTACTACTACCATTTTTTCAAAAGTTTTATTTTTCCATTTTTGAGTGTTGTGAAATGAAATTTAGCAATGATGAGTACGCCGATATTATTTTCATGTTCGGGTTCTGTAATGGAAATGCTTTAGCGGTTTCTCGGGAGTATCAACGTAGATTTCCTAACAGACGCGAAACTACCCCAAAGGTATTTTCGCTTTCATTTCTAAGATTTCGGCAATATGGAATTGCCAAACTTCCCGGAGTTAGAGGCCATGGTGTCCGACACACTGTTTAAGAGGAACTGGAAGTGATTAATTTGACGTTTGACGTGGTTACTGCAAATGCATAATCAAAATTCAGATTTTATCGATTTGGTTTTGTGGTCAGGTGAATCGCTTTTTACGAGGATGGATTTGCACAAAAGGACCCGTAGATTGGCCTGCGAGGTCTGATTTGAACCCCCTGGACTTTTTTTGTGGGGCGCTTTTAAGCAACTAGTTTATGCTGAACTAATTAATAATGTTGATCAGTTACGAGAAGGAATAGATAATGCGTTTCATTAAATTTGTTTTTCTTTATTAAAAAGATGAAGCACTTGTATCCGTCAGAATGGTGGTCTTCTTGAACATTTATTGAAATAAAGCTCTAATTATCTAATTGTTTTTTTTATTTTTACGAATACAATGCACTCTAGGAAAAAAACACAAGAGTAATTATTTGTATCAAATTGAAGGTAAAATTCGAAAAATTGCGCGTGTCGAAAAAACAGTGGCGTACTATTTTTATTGGAAAAAATAATGACACTAATCGCCTGTATCTCCGCCACTGGTGGACGTTAATTGTAAGTAAATACTTTTGAATGTGGACAATATCTAGGTAAATCCACATACCAAATTTTAGTTCATTTCAGTTAACGGTTTTGAAGATATCAAAAAAAAAAAATTTCTTCCAAGGAAAAAATGTTACAAAATGTTTTATTTTTGGTCACGACTGTTGAATCACCCTGTATAGGTTTTGGTCATGAAAACTGTTTTGAAACATTTCCTTATTTTACAGTTGCAGGATTGTTTAGGCCTTTTTTATAGTTGGATTTAGGAAGGTACTTGAGGTATAGATATTTGGATTGATTATACAATTTTTTAGTACTATCCGGTCAACATAATGGTTATGAATGATCATACTACTATCTATGAATAGATACTTCCAAGCAAGGCCTAGCACTTACCCCCAGGGTAACATAACAGAGGGATACCCTGTTTTGTGGAAATTACGTGGAAGACTTGTGCTACGATATCTAGATTCACAAAATGGAAATGAGATGACATCAAGTGAAGAATACCAAAAACGTGCAACAAAATCTGAATATCTTGAAATCTTATCCAATATATCCAGATTGATTCTGGGACACGTATGAAAAATTTGATTCCATTGTCTGGCCGAATCAAACCACATATACGTTTTAATTTCTGATTATTGTACGTCGTTTCGGCTACCATGGTGGCCTTTTTCAAGTGCTGGCCGAAACGTCGTACAATAAACATAAATTGAAACAAATGTGGTTTGAGTCGGGCAAACAATGGACTCCTATGAATGTGAAAACCGCAGGATAAGTTTCAGGAGTTACATTAACATATGTGAAATATTAAAATAAATGGTAAATTTTATGATGTCTACACAAGAAATACTTGCAAATGCAAAAAAAATGTACAAGAGTTGTCAGCTGTCTATTGCTAATACTGACGAATAGTCTAATCATATTAAACGAAAATACCCCTGGTTTGTGAAATAATTGTAAAGTCTGGTTTTTCTGATGCAAGTTGGTCAAGGGGGTATTTAAATCATGGTCGCATAAAATGGGTACACCAATTTGTGCGGGAAAACTTTTTATTCGACAACAAAGTACGGGAAAACGTGTTTTTTGGGATGGGATTCAATCGGAAGTGTTGTTAGGAACGAAAAACTCTTCAAATAAGATTTTTAGGTATTTATGAGACCTACAAAATGAGACCATACGTAAAAAGATCCGACTAATAGCAAACAAGTTAAGGCCGAAAACCGAGGCAAACTGCAGGTTTTAGCACTTGGTAATGCGACGATGGTTTGTCGCAGATATTTGAAATTTTTCAAATTCTTACTTTTAAATAACCACAACAAAATTGGAATAGATTGGTCAAACAGTTTTGAGAATTTCTAATAATTGTGGAACCCAAAACACCTGTTTTTCGGCCATCACTACTAGTTTATTGAACAATATACACTAGTTTACCTTGCCGATATGAATCGCAAAGCATTACGGAAGATAAATGTAATTTTTATGGAAAAAAGGATGGGTTACTTTGTTTCTTCTAAACAAATTCAAACATTTCATATTTGTGAGTAATTCGCAACAAAAGATGATAGACACGTCCGCTTTGTTTTAAAATGTGTATAGGAGCGTATGTTTTTCGAATATCGTAGCGCATTTGCTCAATTACTCACAAATACGAAATGTTTGAATTTGTTTAGAAGAAAAAACGTAACCTTTGTTTTTCACATAAAAATAATATTTATCTTTTGGAAAACACGTGTATTTTGCTATTAAATGCTTTGTGAACGAACCCTGTATATTGCTCAATAGTAGTGATGGTCGGAAAACAGGTCTTTTGGGATAAACAGAAATTCTCAAAAAAATACTTGGCCAATGTACTCCAATTTTGTTGCTGTTATTTAGAAAAATGAATCCTACGTATTTGAAGAATTTCAAGTAGTTGCGTGAAATTATCGTCGCAATACTAACAAGTGCCAAAACCTGCATTTTGACTCGTTTTTTGGCCATAACATTTTTGTTATTAGTTGGATCTTTTTACGTGTGGCCTCATTTTGTAGATCTCATAAATACCTAAAAATCTTATATGAAAAGTTTTTCCGTTCCTGTCAACACTTTCAATTGAATCCCAAAAAACACATTTTCTCATTCTTTGTTCTCAAATAAAAAGTTTTCCCACAAAAATTGGTGTACCCATTTTATGCGTCCATGTTTTAAATATCCCCTTGAGCAACTTGCACCAATAAAACCAGTCTTTACAATTATTGCGGGGAAATTTGCTAATATGTTTAGACTACAATTTCCGCTCCAGTAGCTACTTTTTGGGGCAGATGCAAGCATTTTCAATCACCTATATACAAATTCGTATGTGATGTATTCCAATTTTGTGACACATTTTTTTTTGCTTTTCACATAGCTGAAAACACTGAAATGGTACCTAAATAGACTCGGAAATTTTCAACATTTTTTTCAAAAGGGTCAATCAGAACGACAATACGAATTGCTGTTCGATTTTTTCAGATCAGTGTAATATGCGAAGTGGAAAGCTAAGTGACGAACTTATTCCATGTTTTGGCTATCACCAAAAATCGTAAACCTACTTTGAGCCTAGACTCCTGCATTTTCTATGGCCAGGTATGAACTTGTTTCCAGAAGTAGCGGCGTACAACCTGAGTGAGCCAGCCGAGGATTTTGCAGGTGATAAATTGAGTGATGCTAACGTAGCTGGATCTGTGGCCACAGACTCCTTGGAACTGCAGTTTGAGGAACTTGGAGGAGGTGATGGGGGTTCTAACTTGAGGGATAATCTGAAAACCCATACAAAATTGCGTGGCTTTAGATTTTGTTTCTCAAGCCATTGTTTATTTTAAGTTGCTCAAGCTTTTTTGAGTTCCGACAAACATTAATTTTGTATGGTTTCTGGACCATCTTGACCCGTTATGTGGGAAAATCAAGCTTGTAGATGATGAATCTATTGTAAAGTTTTTCCATTTACCCCAATTACGTCAGTGTTCTATTTTGATTTTGTGTTTTTCAAATTGCCAGCTTTGATAATGGATAAAAAGGACACTGTGTACACTTTTCTCAAATATCTGTTCAATACAGGAAACCAAAAGGTAGATTCACTTAATGACTCAATACTTACTTGTACTGATCATCTTCAACAAACTTCTGCAATTCTTCAATATATCTTATAGAATTCAAATAATCCTGAATGTGGGGAATCTTAGACAAGTGCGAGTAATCCGACATCTGATAGTTGGATATAATTCGAAGAATATTATTCATTTTCAAAGTTCGCTGATTTGATTCCAAACCTCCTGAGTGCGGATGAGCCATATCAATATAAATCAGATCAGTTAAATATATTCCTACAAACAAATGTAATAATGAGGATGAGTAAATATTGACTGACACGAAAATACAATAAATTTTAACGTTTATCAGTCTATTTTTACTTTCCACGTCACTGGCGAGGAAGTACTGTAATGCCGAAAAATTTAGAAAATAAGATCTTGGTCGTTACATATGACATGCGCATCATACGAGGTTTGTCCAGAAAATACGTATAAAATTGGAATTAAAAATTAAATTATTAATAAAAAATAAAATTATTTTACAATTGTTCAGGTATCTCAATATGGCCTCCTTCAAAGTACTCCCCCTGTGATAAGATGCACTTCTGCAAACACAGTTTACCACTGTTGATACGATCGCTGAAAGTATTCAATTGTGAGGCTCTTCATTTGCCGTGTCGTTTCTGCCTTGATGGCTTCCACATCCCCGAAGTGCCGCCCCTGAAGCACCATTTTGCATTTTGGGATCAGGAAGAAGTCGCAAGGGTGAATAAGGCGGCTGTTCTGTCACGGTGATTGAGCTTCGGGCCGAAAACTCACGCACAACGAGAGACGTATGAACATTAGCATTGTCGTGATGAAGGATCCACCTGCCCCCTTGTGCGAAATCCGGTCGAACTCGGGCCACATGAGCTCTGTGACGACGCAAAACTTCAATGTAGAATTTCCGCTCACTGTCTGGCTGGAAGGGACAAATTCCTGGTGAACAATGCCCCGAGAATCAAAGAAAATAATCAACATTGTTTCCATATTGGACCTTGATTTTTTCGACTTTTTCGTTCTCGGTTCCCATGCTTGCTTCTACTCCATGCTTTGAGATTTCAGCTTCACATCGAATTCGTAGAACCAAGACTCATGTCAAGTGATGACCTGGTTGAAAAAGTCCTCCCTTTCCTCTGCTTCCAACCAATCCTCACATCAAGCAACCCTCCTTGCTTTCTGTTCTGGAGTCAAGGGCTTCGGAAAGATTTCGCACACAATTTTTTCATTTCAAGTTTTTATGTCAGAAGTTCGTGAACGGTTGACAGATCCTCAGCTATCATTCTAACTGTCAATCGACGGTCTTTAATAACACAGCTTCGAATTCGTTCTCCCTCAGAGCTTGATGTGGAAGGGCGTCCTGAGCGTTGGTCATCTTTCACATCTTCTCAACCTTCCCAAAACCTTTTCAACCACTTGTTGACGGTTGGTTCCTTGCCTAGGTTTGCAAGAAACTTGTTGTTGGAACGGGTAACTTTCACCAAGCACACGTAAATCCTACTTACTCGCAGAGCGCTCCGGCTCGAACTGAGCATAGAGGGGATGGCATAGAGAGAGGGAACCACCTCCACAACGCCTTGACCCGACGCCCCGAATTTTTTTTTCGGACGAACCTCGTACATCACGAAAAACCATGTCGCTATCTCCGTCGATTAGTCTGTCTGTCCGCTAATCTTTCGTCCATCTATAACTTGGAAGGTACCGCTCGGATATTGTTGAAATGTTCACATAAAGTTACTACTATGCCAAGTATGAAAAAGAGTTGTAGTGTTTGAAAATCGGTCCAGTGACGGCGCAGCTAGGGACAAACAATGAAAAAATAAATCAAAATTACTCCAACTTCTTATTTTGACGTTTCACTTTTGGAATTATTTAGGAGGGGTTTAAAATTGGGGGCTGTGAGAGGTGGGGTGGTAAATAATGCATCTTTGATATCAGTGAAGGACGTTCCATTGTTACGAAGGTTCTGATACTGGTAACAGTACGCATATATTAGATGCAATAGTCATAAAGTCGTACACCTGTATGAATGTGAGTCTTTGCTCCAAAATCACGTTCCATAAACAATAATCCTACCCGCCTCTATCGTACGGCCGACCAGATAAATAAATAATATTAGGCTACTACGGCGCGATAGTCGACGTCGTTGGTCGATGATTGTTAGGCATATGAGTAGGCGACGCCGTTTTGAATGTGTGGGAAGTGTAGAGACAATCTACCTGACTTAGGCAACCCTTACCCAGATATGGTATGCAAGGCAACTTTAGACTTTCAATATGCTTCCTGAGATTCTCCCAATTATTTGTATCTGAAAATACTTCACTCAGCCTATCAAATGTTTGCTTATCTTTCTTAGACAAACAGCTCCATGTTTTAGACAACCTGAAATACAAAATAACACCTATATCAAAGCAACCAAAACCAAAAGTCATAAAATTTTAAAATATCTTTCTAAATAATCTCAGTTACAAGGCTTGCATCCTTTATTTAGAAAATAACAATATATACCCTGAAAATAATGTCATACCTGTATACAGAAGCACTTTGTAGAGCTGAAATTATTGCAAATAATGAGTGTAAATTATTCAGATCATACAGTTTCTTAGCGATTTTTATAAAGTGAATAAGGATTTCACTCCTCTGTTTTGGGGTACCTCCTTGAAGAATCTGTTGTACAGTCCAAAAACTAACCTATAATTAGAATAAACATTAGTTGTAAAAAGAAAACTGCTTTCACTCATGCAATCAACTTTGTACTGTTTCATTCTCATTATTAGGAGTCTGATATAGGTGGGACGAGAAATGCAAAACAAAGTAACTATGTTAGCTTTTAGAAATGTATGTAAATAACGAATAACATCGGACATGAGCATCTCACGACTCAAGTTGGATTTGGCTGGCAGTACACTTCAAAACTTTTAAGTGCATACTTACATGATTGAACCGTCTTGAGAATGCGACCACATTTGGAGCAACAAGCAATTTATTCTTTTTGTTCCAAGCACAGCTAGTGAGTTCATCAGGTTGGATGCTCAGGAAAATAGGCAAGTCGAGAAGTGTCAGCTGCGAGGCAAACTCTTCTGGGGCAACATGGAGTATATCAAATATAGCACAACTATAGTTCTTATTGAGGCTTAAAGCATGATTTGGCAAGCTTTGAGATTTTACGTTTGCAGGTACTGGTGTGAAAGAGCTACTGAAAAAGAAAAATATGTGAGACATTTTACTCTCCCATCAGTTGGATTGCTCGCCATCCTGAGAACCAAATACAGGTTTGTTTATGCAATACATCAACTACAAAAACAACAACGTCTACCAAAAACAAATTTAATAATGTTACCCATAATAATGGAGTGGGGGACCGGGTCCGCTGGATATGGAAGGTGAAGATATTTTTCTTACTTTTGTTTCTTTGTTCTTTGTATTCGGCTTCTTTGGAGAGACTTTTGCATCAACGTCACAATCATGTTGCTGGAACAATAAAGTACGGGAATGCCTGTTAAGAAAACTTACTAAGCTCAGTGAGGCGCAATGAAAATGAACCATTGATAAAAATACGTCAAATTGTCGAATGAATCGATCGATGAGGCGAATCACATGCACATATAAGTATAGAGCCAAATACCGTGGATATTTCATGCCCATTTTATCGGAATAGAATGAGTTATATAAAAACGCAAATATAGGCGGCGATCCATTAATTCCTTGAGTGATTCACTATATAATCGGATTAAATAGTTATGATAAAGACTTTTTTAAATGAATTTATGTCAGGCTTCTGTGGGAATGCAGCTGGTGATACAATCATAATAGACCCAATGATAAGGAAAATAATTATGACTGGATACATATAAAATATATATAATGATAAATTGAGAAAGTGCAAACATTTCTGAATACTGAAGAATGTCATGAAATATTTTCATATAGATTTTTTTGGAATGTCTGCAAAATCAAGTATAACTAAATATTCTGCTAAGGAGCTATATATTAATGAAGCCCTCGAGAAAAAAATGTTACATGGAAGACCCCACCTAAAATGTGGTCCTATTTATGATGTTTCATTTTTGGTCACGACTTGCGAATCACCCTGTATATCAGGCTTCATCCTAAGTATATATATATAGAAAGTTCAGGAACTCATTCCTAAGACTGTTTTAGCCACTTTGATTTCAAGATTCAGGGAAAAGTCCTACAAGAATTTTATAATACAACCTACATAGTTTTTTAAATTCATCTTGTGAAAAACATTGTTAATTGCTTGAATATAAATAAAAAAAAACTGAGCACTTACAAAATAAAATGTATGCTTATAAGAAAGTCATCAGATGAAAAAATAATTAATATTACAATGAATTGAAGGGCATTATGAATATATTACGAAAATACCCAAAAAGATAAATTACTCATACATAATGTAGCTCCTTAAACTTATCCTGTGGTTTTCATGTTCATATGATTTCACTGTCTGTGAATATGTTTAAATTTCTGTTTATTGTACGACATTTTTGCTACCACTGTGGTGTCATACAATAAACAGAAACTTAAACATACATATGGTTAGAGTAGAGAGATTTACATAGTCTCAGTTTTTGAACCCAAAAACTTGTGTACAACACTATCAGTCTTCCTTATTTGTAACAGTGTTCAACTATTTTATTTATTGTAAATGAAACTGTGTTTCCAACATTTCACAAATCTTACAAAATAGAGCAATGAAAATCATTCATGATTAAAATAAGTATAGGAGAACACATTTTATGCTGACAGAATAAGAAATTTCATAGCCCTGCTTGGTTTTCATTTTCATAAAAAGTGAAAATCATCTTCTACCAAATCATTTGGTAAATTGTATTGAACTAAACAGTTAGTACCATAGTTATTCTACTAGAGGAAGTATAGAATTTCATTTTCCAAAATGCAGTAGTCATATAACAAACCAATCAGTATTTTTTTAAAAAGGCCACCATGGTGGCTGAAATGTCATCAGTAAGAATTAATTCACGCATACATGGTTTCACTTAATGGACTGACAATCATGGAATCCTATCAGCATGAAAACCACAGGATAAGTTTCAGGTGTTTCATTAAATGAATCAGTGATCTAAAAGGAATATACAAATTTGATAAATCAGAATTAGTTCCAGTTTGAAAATGTTCAAAGGGGACAAAATATTTCATGGAAATCCAGGATTCATAGTAGTGGCATTTTGCCTAAAAATATGTATACTTGAAGATGTAAAATATTGTGTGATATATATCGTCGCCTAAATACGTTAAACTGCTAACTCCATTTTCATCACTTTGGTGATATTTATCTATTTCACAACTATGACTCCTTTTCTATCATACCAAAACTAAATGTTTGTCAAGTTCGTACGAAAACTGATTGAAAAGCCATGATGAGTAAAGCTGCTAACTGATCCCCACATCTTATTCATCGAAATGCTGCTATCTCCAGTCAAAACAAAGTGACAGGTGCACGTGTGCTCCTCAAACGCTCTTCAGCTCTAGAATAAACGTGGCTTCTTTTTGAAATATCACAGACATTAGTTTCTTGTTCCGGGTAATACTTTTTGATGAAAGGTAAGTTTGATTTTGTAAAAATATGTTTATTTTGGTTTATAGTAAACAAAATTACCGTTATGTTGGAGTGGCAGCTTTTCTCTTAAATTACGTTTGGGAGATATTACTATTTATTAATGTTTAACTGATTTCTTGAGTTAGCTATTGGTGTATGAGTGTGCCATTTTTTTATTTTTTGAAGAGCAATCGGTTACCAATATAATGGTTTGTTGACCTACACTACCGGCGTCTAGGTTAGGTTGCATACTAGCATATTTACATCGTAGTCGTACGTCATATAACTGTACGCTGGCGCTGTGGACGTGATCGAGGGTCAGGACCGTCTTTGGTTTGATTCAGGTTTGATTGAGTTTGCGGAGCCCAATATCTCGGTTATCTTAAGAGATTGATATATATGAAAATCTGCTTATTTTCTCAATGTCTACACGTCGTATAAAGGAAAACCCTAACTTTGCGGACAACCTGTATAAGGCTCATATATTAAACAAAAATTAAGTTAGAGCAGAAAAACAAAAGGATCTGGAAAACCAGAAATGCGTATTTACTGTTGATCGTCAAGCTATTTTAATGTCTCCTAAATCTAATGTTAGCAGCTCATATAACAAGACAAAATTATGCGTTCACAGCCTTTGCTTTTATAATAATTATGCTCAACAAATTGTTTCTTATGGCATGAGGGTAAGGGTGGACTAACCGCAGAAGAATTTTCCTCATGTTTCTAATCATTTTTGGAAACAAAAGTGATTCCTACAATGGACAAAGATGACCGCAATATAATGTGATGGGTGTACGTGCCAGAACAGAAACGTGATTTTCTCTAACGCACCTTTACATTTATGCAGAAAACATGATATTACACTTGAGAATAAATATTTAGAGGTTGGATATACTCAAATGCTAGTGGATTCCATGCATGCCATCATAGAACGTTGTGTAAATCGAGTAAGGCTAATCGTCCCTGCAGATTATCCATACCACTTCAAAAAAAAACAGAAAAAATCCTAAGCCCTTCGAGGTAATGTACTTAGATCACTCTTTCTCCCGATTAATCAAAAAAGTTAGGAGCTGTTAGAAGTTTTTGACCAGGGAATAAGCTAGGAGAACCAAAAGTAATAAAAACATTTAAATTATATGAGTGCTTGGTATATTTAATTGTTTAATTTCTATTTGTAGGTAACTGATATTCGGGGTCTAAAATATACACCAGTAGGGGACATCTATTATAAACTTCGGTTGTCTGATGAATGAAAATTACTTTCGCAAAGAAAATCTCAAATTGACATTATTGCCTGGACAGTGTTGGACCATCTGTATAAAGATAAAATTCCAATATCTGCGCGAAAATATTCCGACCTTCAAGAAATTAACTGTACTATTCCAGGAGACTATCACCATTTTTATAATAATTTGCCACACCTGTGAATTTGTAGATGTTTTAGTTTAGATGTTTTGATCATTAAGAGTACACTAAAATAAATACCTATTCTACTAAAAATAAAAGTTGCTAACTCCAAAATTCCTTCTTTTCTATTCAAATGAACAACTGCCAACTCCACTTATTGTCCATAAAATCTAATACTTTAATTTTTACCACATCTATTTCTTGTTAACACATTTAAAATATCATCAAAAATATTCTTCTTTAATAGCGGCTTGTTTAAATGCACACCATTGTTGTAAAATCGTTTTTTATTCCTCCTATAAACCTCACAAAAAGAAGTTAGCAGTTTAACGTATTTAGCCGACGATATGTAACCTTAATATTGTAGCATATTATGGTACATAAATTTACAACAATCAGTTCTAGAAGGACAATTTACATGTTCAGTCCTTAAAACTCTGATTTCCCCAAGGATGTAATATATTCTTGTATTTGCAAATAGAATAGCCAACATAATAATTTAGAATATACAAATGCCAGATAAGGAGTTGAGTGCTGACAGAGATATAGAAAGACTATTAATAATCCAGGATATTTGTCTTATCTAACTACTATGAGAAATATTTGATGATTAATTTATATTTTAGGATTCATATTATAACAATTGTGAGCAGAAAATATCAGTGCAATGCATTTTTATGCCATTTCTAACCAATATTTAGAATCATCAGTAAAAGAATACACTGATGAAACTAAGAACTTAAACTTTCACACAAAACCTAACTATGTCTTCAAATACCTCTCATAGCTAATATCTTCCTAAAAAGTTTTTCACTGCTTTACCTATAATTTTAGTTTATGAAACATAAGAACGAAATCATTTTTGAGTAAATTCCAAGGAAACAAAAAACTTAAAGATAAAATATTTTACCAAGATTCAAACTCTATTGATAACTAGTTTAGATTTTCATCATATAATGTATATCATTCTTAAACTTGTCTTTATCTGTTTTCATGTTATAATCAATACTTTATATAATCTAATCATTGTATATATGTATATCATTTTGAGAATGCTTGGAATGTGGAGTAAATATTACCAACAAGCTGAACAAATTGTGATCACATAGATAAACAATAAAAACAAAACCATCAATTTAGTCTTCCTAGAAGTAGTCTAGCTGGAAAATGCATTCCAAGAACACCTCTGGCAAATGGTCCAATTCCTAAAACCCCCCCACTATACAATAACTGGAGCTATAGGACCCAATAATTACTCTTCTCAATTAGAGGCTGTCTTACACATTCTTAATTTACAATAGAATTACACAATTAGCAATGATGAGGGTACAAAATTGTAAGATGATACACTTTATATTAGCCCCAAGTACCATATCTATAAAAGGAAATCACTCAAATTTTCACCACACCCTTTGATGATAGTTAAAACAAGTACCTTATAGAATACGGAAAGCTGTTCTCCGGAAATATCTTTTGGTATTTCTGAATATCTCCTCATATTTACCCACTGCTTAGATCTATGTCATGGTTTTGAGGTGCTGGAAAAGGAGTAAGTTTGAAAAATTGCTCATAAGCAGATGAGGAAACTTACCTCAAGTTCTATGAGATTAATGTGCACTATTCGTAGCTAGCATTTTGGTTGTCGAATTTTATTTTAGAGTTTGTTGGATTTTCTGCTAGCACAAAATTATCAGATGTTCTCAAACCTTCAAATCAGAAAAAAGAAAATTATAAACATTTCTCTATTATTAGTACTGTCATCTGTCAATGCTGTCAGTGCCAGTCTGTTAAAAAATATAGAGGGCTAATCTCTTTCTCTTCAGTCCCAATTTCTAAGTCAACTCATAGACCTAGTTGTTTTCACCGTTTTTCCCGACGTGTTAATCTTGGGGAAAACACTACTTATGGATAATATAACAAAGATAGAATTGGGGTAGGTTTCGTTATACGACAGAGAGTTGGTATTTACTGAATCTCCGGCGGCACGGGTATTTTATAAAAAACCTATTAAACGTAAAAAAAAACCTTTAAAATGTCATCCTGCAGAATATAGGTAGTTCTTAGGGTGCAAGCAGTCATTCCACGTTTGCTCACTAGGATCGTTGTGTCCTTGTGTGCGTCCATATATGGAGAAATAGTTCAACTAGACGCAGCTTTGGTAGCATATATTTTTTGAGAAAAAAATTGGTTAAGTAGCAAATCGCATCTGGATGATTGTGTGCATAAAATCCGTGATATTTGCTATGTGAGAAAATCATTTCTGCTGCCATGCTGCCAATGAAGTGTATATCTATTAGCTGTGCCCGACTGGTTATTTCTGAAGACAGGTTATGTTCAAAGTTATAAATTAGGTTTGTCTACGTTTTTTTGTGATTTAAAACACTTTCAGGAGAATTACGAGAAATCACCATCGCGCCCGTGTTGAGTGTAATTACTGTTAGCATGTATATGACTTGTAATTCGACAGTGTACAGTGAATGTAATTATGTCTTATCTCTTATTCTTGAAATTCAGCAAATTTGCATATGCACTTTCCAGAATGAATAAGAAATGGTGGATGCGCAACTAATTTCTAGCTTTGAATCTCAAGTAAGTGTATTTGAGACAAAAATCCAATGGAATTATTATCAACACATATTATTGGCACACAAATCCTCTTTGAAGCAGATTTTACATCACATCAAAGCCAAACATTGATAACTGAAGCCTCATGACGTTTAGACAACACGTACAACTACAAAACGAGTTCACAACGTGTCTATGAGCCAGTACTACATTAGCAACTTGTAGAAAAACCTACATAATGTCCCAAAAGAGCAATATGCTGTACAAACAATTGACATAATGTCACTTTTAAACATACGTACGGTACAAGTAGCACGTCGGGTATGTCTGTTTTTGAGAATGACGCTCGTGATCGGCTTTACACCCTTAGTCAACGGTATTCTATACAATCTGTCAAAACTCTATCATCAACATCAAATTGTCATACGTCGATGTCAAATTAGAAGGCGATTCCCTGCGATTGCGATTCCCTGTTGGAAAAATCTGATGCAATAATTTTGAAGAATATTTGTTTGAAATTGTTGACTTGGTGACTGAAAATAAGATATATTATAACTATACTGATACTCATTGATACAGAAACAAGCAAATATGACAGAAGAGGAAGCAGTAAGTTTGAATTAAAATGTTATTTCCCATATGCCTGACAGTGGTCCAAAACGTGCTTTTGGCAAACATTCTGCTTGCAGTCATATCGATAAATAAGTTCAATATCCTTCCAGATATTTGATCCAACCTTGAAAAAGAAGAAGAAGAAAAAGAAGACCGCTTTCGATCTCGATGCTGCACTAGCCGATGGGGGCGGTGAAAATGAAGCCCCATCAAACAACACTGACGGTGGGGCGGCAGATACCAAGTCAGATGAAAAAGCCGAAGAAGACGATGTGAATGTCGACATCGATTTGGATTTCACCAAAAAAAAGAAGAAAAAGAAGAAGCCATTCAGTGCTGATGATCTGGATGCTATTGAGAGTAAAGAAGAGGGTGCAGGTGAAGGGGGCCCTCAGGAAGATGGTAATGTGGATGACAACTTCGATTTGGACATGCTGGACTTCAGTAAAAGCAAAAAGAAGAAAAAGAAGAAGAAGGATCTTGATGAACTTATGGCTGAAGCTGAGGAGAAGGCAGAGGATAAAGAGAATGGTAACTATTTATATAAGAAATGCATGGTGGATTTAATCGACTACACCTAAAAGTTAGTTTGTTCATAGTAGTTTTAGTCTAACATATTGTATAGCTCTTTTCACTGTTTAGGGTGGTTGCGACACAATGTGAAAAAAGTAAACATTGAGGTACCATGATCATAGCTTAACTTCTTCAAAGAAATTGCTTACAGTGCAAGCAGATGTGTAATGCAGATACTTCTCATTCTTGTACACTTGAATTGGATGATAGAGGAGTGTTGCTTTCAATCACTTTCTCAAAAAAGACTGCCAAAACAGAATGTTATCATTATAAAAAATCAGAAGTTTTTCTTTTAGAGTAATTAGCATTTTTATTATCATCTTCAATTAGAATACAGTATCTGCACAACTGTAAATTAAAACATGGTAATTGACCTGTATTTACTGTATTCAGCCTTAGAAACCATATAAATGCTGTTTTAATCCATAACCAAAGCAATGGTGCTACCAGATACTGTAAGACATGCACTAATCACACAGAATTGATAATATTTTTAATTACTTTTTGTCAGTCATTCAGTATATGTGTAAGAATACTGTTGAAAATATTTATAGGTTTCATATATGAATATATATAATATATTAGCTTAAAAAAACAACAGTTCAGACAATTTTGGGGTAACATGCTTTTTGGGGGTTTCATGGAAGAGTAACAGAGTTGAATGCTGTCTCCTTCATCAAGTCAGTTTTTTTTGTTTGTACCTTTAATCCAAAAATAAAGACACATTGTTATTATTATGACAGCAGAATATTTTATATTACAGATCAAGGATAAATACATAAATGTGGAAGATATGAGTCTTCCACATTTATGATGGGAAAATTTTCAAGGGGTGATTTAACTAAAGCTTACAAAAACCAATGTCTCTGTATAGAGGCAGATTGCATATGTATATCTGAGGGAAATGGATTTATGAAAGTAATACCTATAGTCTTACAATGTCCTGCCAAGATCCATGAAAAGTTATATAGTTGAAACAAAAGACGGGGATGGGGGGTGGGGAGATATTGGGGATGCTGCCTTAATTAAGCAAAAAGCTTTTTTATACTTTGAGCTTTCCCTACTTATTAGCTTTTACGGGATTAAGAAATGATAGTTCAATGTTGAAACAATTCAAAATAATGGTTGTATAAAGGTCTTTATTTCCAATGTAAAAAGTTATTAACAAATTTAAAAGTGTAAAGTTGTTGATGTTCCTTCTTTTTTTTTACATTTTTGTTTTGCTTGCAATTTTTTAAAACATTTTCAACTTTGCTGAGAAAGCTAATAAACATTAGCAAAAGCTTGGAGTAGAAAAAACATTTTTACTGAATATCTTAATGTTGATATGATATATAACATTAGCAAAAGCTTGAAGTAGAAAAAACATTTTTACTGAATATCTTAATGTTGATATGATATATAATATTTAGCATATTTAAAAACAACTAGCCAGGCAATGCATTAGTCTCTTTATTTTGTAGTTATGTGGTTATTTTCTTCATTTTCACATGAGTAAAATATGATATTGTATTGTCTCCCTTTTTTCCACATGCTGCACAGTTGAGATGGTTTCAGAAACAGGTATGGAAGGTATAAAAGTGTGTACAATATCTTAATTCCAATATTCCAAAATAGATTTTACTTCGTACTTTTATAATGACAAGGATAAATGAATTGGAGGATATTATGAAATTTTTTGATTTAGCTTTATTTACATTATAAGTGGCAGACTGACTAATAATAAGTTGTATGTGGATCTGGATTATCATGTTGAGATAAAGTTGCTGCTTAAAAAGACACAGTATCTTGAGCTGAAATGATTTGAGGTAGCAAATATTAATGAATGTTTCTTTTGTGAAAGTTGACGAAAATTCGACCCAATGGGGCAACTCAGACAGAGACTACACCTATGAAGAACTGCTGAACCGTGCCTTTGAAATCATGAGGGACAAGAACCCTGATATGGCAGCTGGGAAGAAGCAGAAGTTTGTCATGAGGCCCCCACAGGTATACTTTTTTCAGTGATGTTATAGTATCATTTTTTCTTTGCATAATTAACCAAAACAACTGTAACAGATCTGCTTTCCAGTGGCCTAGTTGATAAATGATGGATGGATGTTTAAGATACTATTTTCTGAACTTCTTTGCAGGTAGTGAAGATTGGCGCCAAGAAAACCTCTTTCGCCAACTTTACAGAGATCTGCAAAATGCTCCATAGGCAGCCCAAACATTTGTTGGATTTCTTGCTGGCTGAATTGGGTACCAGTGGGTCTGTGGATGGTAACAGTCAACTTATCATCAAGGGCAGATTCCAACAGAAACAGATAGAAAATGTGCTCAGAAGGTAAATTAAATTTTTGAGCTTTTTTTGCGGCATCAAACAACCACATTTAGTTATACATTATGATATCATTGAAACGCATGACTCTGCTAAGGTTGACTTGCAACTTCTTACGTCAAAACTCTCGGTACTCTAGTTTTTTCTGACTCTAATCATTACCTATAAACATTTGTGCAAACCTGATTTTAATTCTTGCTACTCTTTCACAGGTATATAAAAGAATATGTAACCTGCCACACCTGTCGATCACCAGATACCATCCTTCAAAAAGACACCAGATTATTCTTCCTACAATGTGAAACCTGCGGGTCTAGGTGTTCAGTAGCTAGCATAAAGTCTGGTTTTCAGGTATGGTCATATCTTTGTTTCAAATTGAAAAAAAGAGTGGATGTGTTATTGTCAATGATAGTTAATTTGTGTCTGTATTGTTGGTTCCCTTATTGACCATAACTTCAAGTAACAGTTAAGCTGAAAAGTTTGCTGGCTTACCCATATGAGTTTCAGTTAGTATGAACCTTCTAACAGTAAGTGTATAAATTTGACAGCTGTCGGACTTTTAGTTCGTGACTAAATCCACTTTTGTTACTGTTGTAAAAATTGATAAAAAGGAATCTCATGTCTTGATAACATATTGCTTTTTGATGAAAAAAATGCTGTTGAAGCTAAGACTTGGCTTGATAAACATTACTCGGTCTCTGCACCAGAAAAATGAATCATTGTAAAGTCGTTTGCTAAATATAAACAAGGTCAAGTGAGCAATGAACGCCCGAAAGAGGCTGCTACCGACGGAACTATAAAAAAAACCTACAATAGTTTTGAATGATCGAAATTCATCAAGATCGCTGACACTCGGATATCAAGAAAACTTGTTGGAGATATTGTGCGTGAATATTTGAACATGCGAAAGCTGTGTGCAGATTGCGTGCCGCATGAGCTCATACTCGATCAAAACCAACAACGTGTTAATGAATCGGAACAATGTTTAGCGGTATTCATTAATTTGTAATAAGGACGAATTTTTCGATATTACAATGGATGAAGCATCGCTCCATCGCTACACTCCAGGGTCCAATCGACAGCCAGCCGAGTGGAGAGCATGCGATGAACCGAATCCAAAGCGTGGAAAGACGCAACAGTCGGCTGGCAAGGTTGTCATCGATACTCTGGGATGCTCCTGACGTAATTATCTCAGAAATGGCGTCAAGTTGACTCTGCACTTCCTATGCAACACTATCAGTTCATAAAGGATTAAGTTCAGCGCAATTTAAATTCCCTGAGAAAATATTGAGTTATGAAGATGTAGAACAGTGAAATTCAACGTATTAAAACAGTCAAACAGGCCCATACAATTAGTCCATAGACATTCTTCCCCTGCCCTACTAGTAGTTACCGACCAGGTGTAGTTATTTTTCGGATCGTGCATGCTCCGCATGTTTTTTGGCTTTAGTACGCATACATATGTACAGGTCTATCATATTAGCACATTTCTATCAAATAATTGTAAAGTCTGGTTTTATTTTTTGGGATTCAATCGAAATTGTTATAAGGAATCAAAAAACTATTCAAATAAAATTTTTAGGTATTTATGAGAGCTACAGAATAAGACCACACGTAAAAAGATTCGAGTAACAGTAAAAAAGTTATGGCCGAAAACCGAGGAAAAATGCTAATGCGACGATAATTTCACGCAGCTACTTGAAATTCCTTAAATTCATATTCTACATACTTCTAAATAACCACAACAAAATCGGAGTCGAATGGTCGAGTAGTTTTTTTGAATTTCTAATTGTTTATCCCAAAATACCTGTCTTCCTGCCTCGGATGTTTTTACGAGTGGTCTTATTCTGTGGGTCTCATAAATATCTGAAAATCTTATTTGAAGAGTTTTTCGTTCCTGCCAACACTTTCGATTGAATCCCAAAAAACACTTTTTCTTCTCATTCATTGTTGTCGAATAAAAAGTTTGCCCACAAAAACTGGTGTACCCATTTTATGCGTCCATGTTTTAAATATCCCCTTGAATAACTTGCATCAATGAAACCAGACTTTACCATTATTTCGCAAACCAGGGGTATTTTCGTCTAATATGATTAGACTGATAAACGGGACTGGCGATTTTAAAGGCAAATATACGGGTGAATCTATGATTGGTGAAATCTGTGCAACGAATTACCGGGGTTGGCAGCGTATAAATATACTAAGATAAAAAAACAGATTCCCTCCCCCACCCCTACAACTCCCAAATTTCAACCTCTACAGACATTTTTCCGAAAATGACCAGGACCTAAAACGTAAAAAAACGAAAATTGAGCGATTTTTTTGTTTGTGGTAACCTTGTATGAAAATTTCACCAACATCTGAGCGGTACTTCTCAAGTTATAGGCGATTATAAAATTAACGGACAGAACGCCAGACAGACATTCCGACGGAAATGAGTGACGTAATTTTTTGTGATGGACAATACTTCCTCCAAGTTTTGGCATAGGAAGTGAAAGGGCCCAGACAACAAATATTACATAGCGTTTTTGGAGCGTCTGTGATATAGAATCTAAAAAAAGCTTCTTCATTTAAAACATAAAAAGTGCTGGTTTATCAAGACATTGTGCCATGTCACAAATAAATGAAAACGATGGCGAAATTGCAGACTTAGGCTACATATTGCGTCCCCATCCAATGTACTGTCCTGATCTAGCCTCCAGTGACTTTTTCCTGTTTGCAAATCTCAAAAGATTGCTCGCTAGAAATAAATTAGCACTGATGAAGAGGTACTCGCCGAAACTATCATGTGTTTTACTATGTTACCATACGAACTTTTCAGCCTAACTCTTATCTTGTCATAACAGGAATGACTTGTAACCCTTGTAATATTGGTTAAAATCATTGTAAAATTAAATAAAAATGATGCTTTCATGAGTTTCAAATATTTTTACATGCTTTATTTTTGACTGACTTGTTTTTTTTTTCAGGCCGTTACATCAAAAAGAGCTGCCATCCGTGCGAAGACGGCTTGAGAAAAGTTGTAGGTATCTTAATACAATTTATTTTATTTGGAAACTGATAGCACTTCAAACGTCAGTTGTAAAGATATGGTATTTTATGTTTTATTTGTAATATTGTACTATACAATTAGCTGAATTGTTAATAAAACCGAAATATCTATATATTTATCTGCGTTCACTAACACTCTGATTTTACACAGATTTTATCAATTGCAATAAACTGTTTTTATACTTTTCCATTTCTTTTTATTGGAAGATTAACGGTAACAATAAGAATAACAATTATATTAAAAAGCCATTTGCATTTCAGCAACAAATTTTTCTATATTGGGAGCTAATCCAAAGTTTTGTAGTAACTTCAGTGTTAAAGATCTAAACCATCTGCAAATCCTTTGGCACCTAAAAATGAAAAACACGTGTATTAGTGTGAAAACTCACACAAAATTACTATACTATGACTATAGTCTTTTTCACGAGTCTCCGTTACGTTTTGACGTTTAGTGAGGTGAATAGCTGATAAGGAGTTGACATCCTGATGTTAAAGGCTGCACTGTTGACAATAATGAATCCGGTGTTAATCGCGTAAAACTCGGGACCTTATTCAGAACTGTTGATCTGGAATATAGTCATGAGCATTAGCAGCCATTTTGAGTAGAAGATCCGAATTAGAACCAACCTTCACCCACCTGTTTAATGGGTGAAAGTAATTTTATATCAAATTTAATCTATTTCGATATACTTTCCAAGTACCATTTTATACATTTCATATAAAGGGTTTTTCAAATGTCCGAACTTTGGCTATCATCTTCATCAATTGGATCATATGGAACGACATGTGGTTGCAACAAAACGGTGCAACGTGTTACACATCGGTCATTACATTGCAGTTGTTGCGACAAAAGTTTCCAGGACACGTTATTTCCATAAGAAGCGATGTGGAATGGCCGCCAAGATCGTGCGACGTAACGCCTTTAGACTTTTTTCTCTAGGGTTGCGTTAAGTCTCTGGTTTATGGCAACAATTCACCAACTGGAGAACCACATCATTCAAACCGTATGCAGCAGAGTTTAAAAAAATTGGACCTCTCGGATTGAGTTATGTAAACGAAGCCACGGAGGCCATTTGAATGATGTAATTTTTACAACGTAATGGTATTGAATGTACTATAATAAGCAATTAAAGTTTCCATCATATTATGTCGCACACAACTCGTTTTATTCAATTTTAAATTTCAGACACACTTGATGAAAAACCCTTTATTATATACTTACTGTAGTCCCAGTACAAAAAATTCTAAATTTTTGGTTGTATCTATTCCGCAAAGCAGTCACTTTTTTACACCACGTGGTATGGTAACCAACAAAATCGAGTAATGCTTTAGTTAGCCCAATCTCATTGAACAAAATTTTCTTTTCTTTACAAAAACTTCAATGAACAATTTCTCTCCCATCATTAAAATCAAGAAATCGTCCGAGCCACACAAAAAACACTTTTTAAAATTTTTGTATCACAATGGTACGATCATAAACATAAGCATAGGAGCTGGAATATACACAAAGTAATATTAGTAAACTTATAAGTAAACTCAAACTGCGGCCTAATGCACTATACTGGGTGTTACAGTATTATTATACTAAGTGACATATAAATCCGAACACCCAGTTTAAATGGTTTTATTTTAATAAAATTTTGTATAAGTACTTAATGAAGCATAATAAGTAAATGATAAAAATTTGAAAATAATTGCACTGCTTTAAAGCCCTTTGACCTTTAATAATGTGTGGATGCACCCTGATGTGCTACGCATTCTCCGACGCGCCTAGGCATGCTTCTGATCAGGTGGTCAATGTCCTCCTGTGGTATCTCATTCCAGGCAACCACCAACTCCTCTCGAAGTGCTTCTAGAGTCTGAGGAGGACGTTGCAAATTGAGCAATCTCCTACCCATCATATCCCACACGTGCTCAATTGGGGATAAGTCGGGAGATCTTGGTGGCCATGGTAACAACGTGACATCATTATGTTGAAAGAAGTCTATTGTGACTCTTGCAACATGTGGTCGGGCATTATCTTGTTGGAAAGTTGGATCTGCCAGGGTGTCAAGATAGGGTAAAAGATGGGGTTCTAGAACTTCGTGGATATAACGCTGCGCGTTCATGTTACCTCTGATGAAGATTAAAGGTGACCTGGAACCATAAGCTATAGCACCCCAAACTATAACTCCAACAGTGTGATGAACATGTCTTTCAACAAAAAACTGGATTCCTCCTTTCACCACGTCGCCTTCTAACCCTGGGACGACCATCGTGCATGCCTAAACAAAATCGAGACTCGTCACTAAAGACAATACTGTTCCATTCCTGATCCCAGAGTGACCGTTGTCTGTACCACTCAAGGCGATTACGTCGGTGTTCTCGAGTTAAAGGGAAGACCCAGTGTGGCCGGTATGAAAACAAGCCAAAACTTCTCATTCTGCGGTAAACACTTCGCATGCCAATAGGTCTTCCGTGTTCTGCAAACCATTCATTTGCAATGGACCTGGTAGTGGAGAAACGATCCCTTAAGGCCAATAATCTTAGGCGGCAATATTCACGGTCTGTTGTTCTACGGCGGCGTCCAGTGCCCCTTGCTCTTTGCGTACGGCCTTCTCGAAGCCATGCCTGACAACACCTAACCACAGTGTCTACACTTCTTTGCACTCCAACTGCAATTGCCCGAAAAGAAAGTCCAGCTTCCCGAAGTCCCACTATACGGCCCCTATCAAACTCACTAAGTTGACGAAATCGTACAGGTCTCCGTACTCTAGGCATCGTAACCGATCGTAAAGGATGTCAAGAACCAAAATCCGCCAACGTTGATTCTTTACTGCGGCTGAAATATTCATTTTTAGAGCGTTAGTGAATTAAAAAAAAGCAGTATAAAAACCGGAATGTCCAACTGATAAGGCTGAAAATTTTTTCACTTGTTATTTACAGCAAACTGGGTGTTCGGATTTATATGTCACATAGTATATTTTGTTCAATAAAACGTCATTTTTCAATGTTTAATTAGTCTTAGTCTCACCAGGAATTGTTTAGCCAACCTACTCGCGGGGTATTTCTTAACATACCAAATTTGATATAAAATGCTTTTCATCCATTAAACAGATAGGTGAAAGTCAATTCTAATTTGGATCTTAGAGTATTTGTTTATAGGTTTTTTCTTGTCTGTAAAGGAAGTTTTCTATGTAAGCATTGTTAGGAATTACGACACTGTACCGTACTAAAGACCACATCAAAATATGACTGTCTTCAGATGCGTCTCTGGTCGATATGGGGAATTTTGGAATGTAACTATATAATCGGGTGTTATATGCTGTGATGTTTGTCGTAATGACGTAAAGACCATGTCAACTGTATTTTAAAAAAATCTCGACAATTACTTTAAGATACTCATTTAAGGATTTTTTCAAAGCTGGTAAACTAGATCTAAAATTCACTATCTCGAATATTAAGGCAAGGTTTGCAGGGTATCGAGATTAGTAAAAATTTGAATTCTAAAGTTACAGTTCCTTTTTGATAACTAAACTGAATCGTGTTAATTTCCTATGTAGGGTCCTAAAATTGAATCACCTATTCGCCAAATTACAGGTTATACAAATGACTGATTCCATGAAGCAGAAAGCAGAAATTATTATTCAAAATGCTCCACATAACTCACAACTCTGACGGATTCGTAGACAGGACAGAGATGTATTAAAAGGGGGATGATGTGTGGCCATATTTTATTGTGGCTTGTAGTTCACGCTTTCTAACAAAGCTTTTATATGTATTGCGTTTGCTAGATGTTCTTTGTATATTTTATTGTCCCGGTTACTGAAAGTATGTATGTGAAAACAGATTTTTAATAGTGCTTGGTGTAAATAGTTCTGAATACGGTTACACCGGATTCAGATGTGCCGATAGTACATCCTTAACCCAAAGATGTAACTTACTGATCAGCTGTTCACCTCGATAAACATCAAAACAGGATGAAATCTATTAGCACTCATCAAGATTGAAAGAGATCTTACCCTAGTAAAAATTCAAAATACATCCACAGTGGAATATTGAGCACCCTGTTTTTAAAGCTATCCTGAGAATAAGTTGTCTGCGTCGCCATACGTGCTAAAACGCTGTACCTATCAATTGGACTACCATGATCATGAGAAATTGACCTAATTGTGTTCAGGTTCCTGCAAAAAATTATTTGTGACCAACCGTAGACAGCGCTGTTTCGTGCTCATTAGCAACTCTTCAAGAATCTCGAGGTTGTCAAAAGACCGTAGCCAGTTGTTTTCTTTCCGTTTCGTCTGTCTCCAAGACTAGTCCTATACCGCAATGACGAGTTGCTCATGAGCGCGAAACAGCACTGTCTGCTTACAGGAGACTGAAAGAAAACATGTCCTTTTCAGCTATTAATAATTTGAAAAACAGATGTCATAAAATCAATATGTTCATTATTTCGCAATATCTTTTTAGAAAAAGAGACTTTTCCTGTTGGTACATCTGATGAATCATGTCGGCAATTAAAAAGTTCAAGGAGTTCCTCTAATAGAGAACAATGTATTAATCTCGGTTTTTTAGAGGAAAAACAAAAATCATTGCATCTGTGAGGAAGTAGACATCATAAAATGAAAATTTGTATTCTAATGATAATGCATTATGTACTGGATCAGGGCCGAATGCTCCGCCATTCGATTTTCGTCCGCCGGCGCGCATGACGTCACGCGGAGAGTGATTATCATTTGGGTTGATATGGATAACGTGTATATTTTCACCTACAGGCCAAACGGCTGGACGGATTTTCACATATGAGGTGTCGTTGGATTCGTCTTAGCGGTGCGAGTGATACTAGCTACATTGAAATTTTATAAAAAACAAAATGATGGATTTTAATAAAAGATTTCAATCCTGTAATTCCTATTTCACAGGCTATAACTTAAACGGCTTCTAGCTCCACAATAGAGTATATTATCGTCTCTTCACTGTAAAAACAAAATAACTCAATTTTTCTACATTACCTATATTTTAGTATGTTCTGTGGAGCAGGATTAACATGTTCATGTCATAATACTGTACTACATTTATCCTTATTCCACAGAACATCCTAAGCACATGTAAGTGTGAAAATGTACGCAACTCAAAAAGTAGAAAAATGGAGTTATCTTCTTTTTGCAGTAAGGTGGTGGTATAACAATAAAGGGAAATGACTTAGTCTAAGCAACAATTTTTTGCATTTCCTTTTACGATTTTTCTGGTCTTTCAAACTTTTATTCAGTTCTTTGATCCGGATGAACATCCTTGACAAAAAAAAAAACAGTTTTTTAGCTTATTCAGGGCAGTCAATGTTGCTGCTCTTCAACAGAAGTTCACATATAACATTTTGCTTTTTTGTCACTATTCCGTCCCCATTGAATGTAGTGAATACCTTGTTCATCTTCTCAATTTGATTCATGAAAGTTGCGAAAGGTTTTGATAATCCACCCTCACTAAGATCCATGAATAACTTTCATTTGAGGAACTTTTCAACCTCTCATCCTGCAATTTATTGCAAACAAAGCCATCCAAATTTTCCAGCCCGTCATACTCGAGCTCATCTATTTCTTCCACTAAAACTTGCTCGGTATAGTCGGCTGATACTTCAGGTGCATTCAGTTTATTCTTGTTAATGATGCGGTTAGTGGTTAGTGGAACGTCTGGAGTATCCTCTGACTCTACGCTTCAATAGGTACTCTGAGCATGCGCCTTCGTTTCGCCCCAACATATATACTTAAACTCTAGAGGGCTTGTATGGTCATGAAGACCATCTTTTGCCCTAAATACTCCGAAAAAGTTTTCTATCACATCTTGATTAAGACGTCTTGTTAACAGGTATTGGACGCTGAAGCGTCGTTTCAGATCCTCTAGAGCATTTTCTAGCAAACCCTAGCGCTTTTTACATTGACCTTGTCTTATCTTTTTGTGAGATGTAGCCATTTTTTTGCTAAAGTTTGGGTCTTGAGGAAAACTGTGGAACTTCATGTCTTTGCAAATATTCCGTTTAGATTGATTGTCGGAATTACATTCCAGAACAGCACACCGCATTTTTATCAATTTATCAACCACACAGGGTATATAAGGTATATATAACTAATACAGCAAGTCACAAAACCACCAAAAAACACCAACAAGTCGCACTATATAGTATTAACCACTATACACGTAAACTGCAGTAACGTTACGACAATCCTGCCGCTGGTAACCACGAGCCGATAACTCTCTGGGTGACGTCACGAAGCTCCGCCCACATGCGCAATATCCTATCTTCAGTGTATGTGTATCGTGGTACTGGATAGTATAGCATACTGTAAATTACCATAGGTGTCTATAACTTTTACGATTTCGATATTTTTGAGGCTGTTGTTCAGGCTGATTCCAAATTGAGAATCAAGACTACAGACCAACAAAAAAATGTACTCCAAGCTAGGGTGTTTTTTTGTTAATCATCATGTTAATATCCTGGCAGACACGAGTTGTCGAAGGAACAAACATACCTAAGGACTAGTAATAACGATCTAGGCATGCTTTGTATACATTCCATAATGCTGTCAAATCTGTCTCTAGCAAACTCAGTCATGTGCTTTTCATCTTCTTCAGTAAGCTTCGTTATCAGCTTGAAACCGTGTGTCCTCAGTGGCGCTTGCGTCAAAATTTCGGCAAATAGTACATAATCTAAAAAAATATCATATACGCAATTTGGAGATTATTCAATTTTTGTTTTTATATACTTTCCACTCCCAATTCTTTAGAATATTTCTTCATGTTCTCATGATCGTTGAAAACGATGGCTTTCCACATATGGCTCAGTGCTATCCTGTCTTTTTGTGAAACTTCTTGATATAACCCATGATCTAGTAGTACCAGTTGTGTTTGGCCATTATGTCTTCTAATAAGAACTAAAACAGATGTCAAAAGTTCAGTATTCCTTTCAACATTTTTGAGGATCATTGGAATGATCCGTTTTAGCGTCAACTGCAGAAGATATTGACCTCTGCATGTCAGTAATTGGACGAAACTTTACCAAGATGTATACTTACTATTTCCAGGATGAGGGTCAGCGTGGACAAAACCAGTTTGGAAGATTTGATGGCCAAAAGCCTCGAACAATTTTCGGTTTATATCTGCAAGTGAAAATTTCTCCTTTTTTATAGCGTCTATGTCACTTATCTTATATCCGTTGATAAATTCTGTTACTAAAACCCTCTGGAAAAAAATATTGATAAAGTTAGGTATTTCATTTATCTATAAACCTTTCCCACTTTTTATTACTTACAGTATTCGTATATTCCCAAAAAACCTTAGGAACGTGGACATATCTTAGATGCCTAAGGTCTCTCGCACACCGTTGACTATTCCTAGCTTCGTTTATAAAGTCTAATTCTTGTTTCAAAGAATCAACTAGATCGTCTATAACCCAGGCAAAATTGAAATTAGGATGCATCCATCCAGCAACAGAGAGTAAAGCCTTTATTGTTCTGACGTCGCTATTGAAACGCGATTGTAGATCTTTGTATTGTACTTTCACAGCTACTTTTTGGTTGTCTTTCGTTTCTGCTTCGAACACCTGTAAAATATCAACGCCTGTTAAAATAGATAGTTCAACAATGCTCGAAGTTGGATAGCCAAACCCAGCTAATATACGGAGATGGCACTGGTCTCGTGAAGTCTCGCGAATTTTTGATATGCCATGTTTGTACCTAACGTTACTGATACAGACTCTTCAACGGCTATGATTTAGCGTCTTTGGTCACGATGTCAGGCCAATATTTTTATCCTACAAGTACTTAAAAATCATATGCGTTTTTCTTTTGCACTTTTGCTTGTTCTTTCTGTACATCTTTTGGTAGACTATTGTCATCGTTACTTTTTGAGTACTTTTGCAAAAAATCATGGTTGGCTTTCTTAACTGCAAGATTGCTATGGATGTAAACAGAGTATAAATTTAAGCCAGGGCTGTGTCAATATGATATAATCTGTCATCATTCGCTCCGCTCATTTAAAATATACCGTTATATACACGTATATAGTCAAAATCACGAAAGGCGACTATTACGTCATACCATAAATTGTACTGAAGTAATCAATGGACGTACGTCGATGATAAAATCAGGATGTCATGAATTTATATTATGATTTTGCGAAGTTAGGTTATTTCACTGATTATTTTCATTTCCATTTTAATTCATGGTTTTAAGTGATACTTTAATAATAATTTTGGTGGGGAGTTTTTGTTTTAGAAGAACAGTTATGAGTAGAATACACCTGACATTAACACCAAAGACCAAAGTATTATTCGAAAACAACCTAACCTGCTTTAACATAACTTAACTATCCATCTTTCAAATGTGATCGATCATTCAACATGAAAACATCGTCTATCCTTGTCGGATGCATGCAAATTAGCAATACTGTTTGTTTAGACATTAAAAATCTGTTTGTCTCTGTCTAACATATTTGAAACTTCATTAAAAATATTCACAAATCGTTGTCGCTTGTCTTTACTACAGACTAAAAAGTGACGTAATCGTCATCTTTCGTGATTTCGACTTTATAGTTATAATTGTATACGTCCTGTTCAACGAATTCAGACTAGGTAGAAGTAGCCAGTCAAGGATTTGTTTGTATCCTAATTCTCATAGTCTGTAGAGAGACTCAAAGTGCATACTACAAGTGCAATTAGCCTAAGTTAATTTTTGACAGTTCTGTCATTAAATTCATATTTTCAGTGTTATTTTTTAAAAGTGCGATTTCAATACTTGGTACTTCTCATGTAATTTTGCAAAGATCAGCACATGCCTAATGAAAGTAGATGTTTTCAACGGTAGGTATTGTGTCTGTGCGCATTAGTAGTCAGTCAAATGAGTAAAAAGTATCCACTAAAACTTTTCATTATCTTGTAACTCCAAGGCTTACTTTACTATTTTCCTCGAGAAAGGTTCCTCAAAGAAGGCGGTTTTAAGTGAAGAAATAGCTTCATTGCCCTTCCTCTAATCTTACCTGTGCGATGCTGGCTGCAGCTATCGGGGCTTCTTCAAACTTTTTAAATATCTCACTCGGCGTCTTGCCAAAGTCTTTCATAAAGATCTCTATCACCTCATTTTCCTTCCTCCTTAAACACTTATCTTGTAGGGATTTCAAGGTGTTGATATACTCCCTGGGTAAGATGTGACTCATTGAGACCAGTCCTTGGCCCAACTTGATGTAGGAACCGCCGTTTAACAGACATCCTTGGAGAATATTGTCAGCGGCTCTTTGGTGGATTCTGCTTATCATGAATCGGTAGTTTGGCGACGATTCGTCTAAACCCATCATTGAGAAGTAATAGTCTATTGATATCCATACGCCTATTTTCAGCGACCTAAAAATGGTAAGCTACACTTTATTTCGATTTATATCCTTGCAATCATCCTTATTGTTGTTTAATCGTCATAAAGGATTCATCATTACGACGTAGATTGCATGACAAAGAAGCTATGCGACGCGATTTTAGCATAAGCGTCAGTGGTTTCAGGGCTGGGGCTAACAGTTGAAGTGGCCCCGGGACCAGAAACAGTTGAAAGAGTAAAAAATATAAAATTTTCAAACACTATATGAGTCAGCCATTTACTGTATGCTTCATAGCTTAATATACGCTTTAAATTGAAATGTGTTTTTATGAATTCTTTTGTTGCTTTAAGAATAATATGCATTATTTCCACAGTTGGTCTATATTTCAAATCATAAATCAATATAACTATGGGATACGAGATAAAACCATACGATAAAAATACAAATATTATTATTGATTATATAACAAATCAACATGCACTTGCTGCTATCTGCACTTGTATTTATTGTGATGTTGAGATTGAATATAAACCTCGTTTTGTAGCCGAGTTAAAATGTGATATTGATAATAATGAGTTCAAAAAATAAATCACATAAATCTATAGTATTTTTCTCTATTTATCTATTATCTACAGAATGAAGCATTGGCGAGTAAATATTGCGGATACGCACGTGTTTCCAGTGGAACTGAAAAATGGTAAGACTGTCAAGTAGAATGTTATACTATCCAGAAAAAAAATGTACTTTAATAGCTGAAAAATATTGTTTATATCGATTTTTAAGGATACATCAGGGTATCTTAGTTGCATAGATTTCATACCAAATTTTCAACGCAGTTTGCTCACATCTAACAGAAGTTCAACTTCCATGGCAGAAATAGAACAACTTGCACGTCACAGCTTTGGCGCGAAATGTAAGGCTTGAACTTTAGCGAGAAAGTTTTGTCACTTCTTGTGATTGAGGAATATTGCTATTTTGTTTAAATAATTTTTTTTTGGGAAGAACCTTTCTGTCTGAAATGACCTTACCTCAAAAACCTACCAACGCCATATACGTTATCAACAATATCGCCTTCTTCGCACACGTTTGCAGCAGCTGCCAAACCAAATCCTATCCCCGAGGATAATTTTACAAAACTCACCGCATCCTTCTTTTTCAAATGGTACCTCAAAAAACTGGCTATTTTCCAAATGTGATTCCTCGACATTATTTCTGCTCATAAGCAACGTGAACGCTGTACTGGCTGTAATTCTGGAAATACAATACATGCAATTAACTGTAATTACCTGCACTCATTGCACCTGCAACACTGTGTTACAAGTTGCACTCACATGCAAATTAGCGGTGTGGCAAGTTTGATTAAAAAAATTGTCCCAAGCGTCCCAGATTTCTAAATTTCCAATATACGATTCGCTATACCTCACCAGTTATAAGATGTGAAATTGTGTAAAAGCTCAATGTCTTTGATCATATTGAGTACCATTACGTTAATAAGAAGAACTTTGTAGTGCAATGTCAAAAATTTACTTTTGTTCTTCCCATGAATATGTACTAAGTGACATATAAATCCGAACACCCAGTTTAAATGGTTTTATTTTAATAAAAGTTGGTGAATGTATTTATCTTACTGTAAATAACAAGTGAAAAAATTTTCAGCCTTATCAGTTGGACATTCCGGTTTTTATACTGCTTTTTTTTAATTCACTAACGCTCTAAAAATGAATATTTCAGCCGCAGTAAAGAATCAACGTTGGCGGATTTTGGTTCTTGACATCCTTTACGATCGGTTACGATGTCTAGAGTACGGAGACCTGTACGATTTCGTCAACTTAGTGAGTTTGATAGGGGCCGTATAGTGGGACTTCGGGAAGCTGGACTTTCTTTTCGGGCAATTGCAGTTAGAGTGCAAAGAAGTGTAGACACTGTGGTTAGGTGTTGTCAGGCATGGCTTCGAGAAGGCCGTACGCAAAGAGCAAGGGGCACTGGACGCCGCCGTAGAACAACAGACCGTGAAGATCGCCGCCTAAGATTATTGGCCTTAAGAGACCGTTTTTCCACTACCAGGTCCATTGCAAATGAATGGTTTGCAGAATACGGAAGACCTATTGGCATGCGAAGTGTTTACCGACGAATGAGAAGTTTTGGCTTGTTTTCATCGCCTTGAGTGGTGCAGACAACGGTCACTCTGGGATCAGGAATGGAACAGTATTGTCTTTAGGGACGAGTTTGGATTTTGTTTAGGCCTGCACGATGGTCGTGCCAGGGTTAGAAGGCGACGTGGTGAAAGGAGGAATCCACAGTTTTTTGTTGAAAGACATGTTCATCACACTGTTGGAGTTATGGTTTGGGGTGCTATAGCTTATGGTTCCAGGTCACCTTTAATCTTCATCAGATGTAACATGAACGCGCAGCGTTATATCCACGAAGTTCTAGAACTCCATCTTTTACCCTATCTTGACACCCTGGCAGATCCAACTTTCCAACAAGATAATGCCCGACCACATGTTGCAAGAGTCACAATAGACTTCTTTCAACATAATGATGTCACATTGTTACCATGGCCACCAAGATCTCCCGACTTATTCCCAATTGAGCACGTGTGGGATATGATGGGTAGGAGATTGCTCAATTTACAACGTCCTCCTCAGACTCTAGAAGCACTTCGAGAGGAGTTGGTGGTTGCCTGGAATGAGATACCACAGGAGGACATTGACCACCTGATCAGAAGCATGCCTAGGCGCGTTGGAGAATGCGTAGCACAATCAGGGTGCATCCACACATTATTAAAGGTCAAAGGGCTTTAAAGCAGTGCAATCATTTTGAAATTTGTATCATTTACTTATTATGCTTCATTAAGTACGTTTACAAAATTTTATTAAAATAAAACCATTTAAACTGGGTGTACAGACAAAAAAACAAAGAAAAAAAAACGCCCAAACTTGGAAAATGTTTTTGAGGGGTAGAGATTATGTTAAGGGGCTATAGGGGTGGGGAGGGTAAATTTAAATTTTTTTGACGCTATCATAATCATATGTTTCTAACCCCGGTAATTCTAGGGACCTATTAGATATATTTCACTCATGGGGAGTTCGTAGTTTTTTCTGAGGGTATAACTTTATAACTTTTTTATACTGGTGCAGTCGGAAAGATAGAAAAATACCGCGACTGCTATAATATAAGGAGACTGAATAAATCTATGATTTTTGAACCGAGATCTGTAAAACAAGGAAAATCCTTTATAGCGTCTGTCTCGCAAATCTAGGATGTCATTGCGGAGAGGTGAGAGGAACAAATTTTTGTGGCATATCAGTAGAAAAAAAGAACAGATGACCGGCCGCCTTTCGATGTGTCTTTTCGAATCCAATTTATACAAAATTATTCTACATAGCCCTTCCTCGTCTGGTAAGTTTAGAAGGGCGTCAGAGCCACAATTGAAACCATAGCAATCCAATTTTTGAGAATTACCCTAACACGGGGAAATGCCGCACATTTATTTTACACAAGCATGTACAAATATGAAAAAATTTGCAAGTTTCCCAAGAATTAAATCGAAATTTACCCTACAATTACTGAGTAAAATACCGCTCAACATTAACTATGTGCCTACAATTAAGCCACTTTAGGCCATATGGTAAACGTAAGTTGATCTCTGTTTATTTTTCATCATGCGCATCGTCGTATGTGAGACATAAAAGTGTTTAGCTGCAAATAACTGCATGATGTATACCCATTATGATTATACAGAGTGTATCAAAATAAGTAGTCAATGTCTCCGTTCCATATACAATAAAAATAAAGGATGTCTCCGAAATGATTTTTGATTGAAATTTTGATAGCATAGTAATCAATGGGGGACTTACAATAATAAGTTTTTCACATGGTGTATATAATAGTGAAATATAATATTTTGGAACAAAGCTCGAACCTTTTGCTGGAAAATTATTCAAGAAAAACAGTCCTGTAACAATACTGTTCCTATCGATTTACACAGCAGGGGTCCGCCAAGAAGTTCGACAAACACCCACACCTTGATTGAACGATCCAAAAATCTATATTCTGGGGTTTTTAGGTCGCTATCACATAATCTGTTATCAGAATTACTATATTTTCAAAAGTTTTACAGCTAGAGGATCATATTTGGTAGGTACTACCCTTTCAAATATTATATTTGATATATTCATTGTAGTGTAGAAGTTATTTTAAAGCATTGCGCCATAGGCAGTGGTTTCTGACTTTTTTTATTGACGGAGATATTACTTTGAGAGGTAAACTGCCTCCTATTCCAGGAAGTATCTTTGCATCCGCACCAACAAATATTGTGATTCGGTTTTTCCACATAATCTTATTAAAAAAAGAACCTGGATGCTGTCAGGCTCAAAATTGCGATGAAAATTGGTTAAATCATTCTTTAAACAAGTGTCCCAAAAATTGTTTTCTTCCCTCCGGACAAATTTTTTTAAGGTTTGTCATTGGGTCATTCTGAACAAAGTAGGTACCTATCTTATGAATTTTCCTCAAAGCTTTGTAGTTTTGGAGATTTGATATTTAAAAAATTGGGAAATATGCCATTTTCGACCCCCCAAAAGGAAAACAAAATAGTGTCACCAATCCTCAAACATCCATTAATAAAATCTTAAAGCATTTTAGAAGCTATTTTTATTGTATACGTAGAACTTTTTTATTTCCACGCCCACTGGCGAGGAAGTATATCACGAAGAATTTCGAAAATGAGATATTGTGCTTTTTGGATGTTATGAGATGTACGATCACGAAAAACCATACAACTCACTTCCCTCGATATGTCTGCCAGTTGGTCTGTCTGTCAATTTGTCGGTATGTCCGAAGTTCTTGGCTCGTCTAGAACATGGAAAGTATTTATATTATCGGATTTAGATGAAATTTTCTTACAAGTTTACTACTATGCCAATGACTCAAAGCTTTGTAAATTTGAAAAATCTGACTAATGGCTGCGGATCTAAGACCGAGCAACGAATATTATACAAATCGTTCAAACTTCGTTTTTTGACATTTAAGAGAGGCTGCAGGTCATTTCCGAAATTTTTTTTGTAGGGGTTAATCATCGGGGACTAGGGGTTGTAGGGGTTAATCATAGGGGACTAGGGGTTGTAGGGGATGAGGGAGTGTATATCTCAATTTTTGCCGGTAGTTTACTCATACGCTTCTAACCCCACTAATTCTACGCATAGTACATATATCATACATATACATTTGATCTTAAAACTTGAAGAAATTTCAAACGGATGTGTCGCGTCTAGATCACACTTGTCGTACGTAACGGACCGGTGCCCACGAAATCCTCTCTGCGACTGTCGCCCAGTCTCACACCTCTCATCGCCACACTGCTCGAGCGGGCCAGTATAGCATGGCTGACATTGCCAGTTGGTTGATACTTTCAGTAAGGGCAGGGAAGAAGTTTCTAGATCGCACTGTTACCAAATGGGACTATGGACTAATTGGATGGCCCTATTTGGCTCATTTGATTATTATTTTTTTGCAATACATGTTCGTAGTGAGCTTTTTATCTTATAATAATAATAATCCTTTATGATCGGATGACAGCGTTGGGTGGGAAGAGCAGAGTCAACCTACTTGACGCCATTTTTATAATTGTTAATTAAGCACGAGCTTAATATGTATAGTGTTCGAAACAAGGACTCTTACTATAGCATTAGCTCCTAAAATGCTTTGGTATTTTAATAATGCATGCTTAAATAATACTTAGGATCTTTTTGCATATTACTCACTTTTTAAAAGATTTAATCGCTTACATCTCGGGAACTATCAAGTTTAGAAGGAGGTTCATGAGAACCTATTTGTGTTCATAATGTCCCAAAGAAATGCCGGGAACGAAAAAACAATTTGAATTAGTTTAAAAACACTTCTCCAAAAAATTGTCATGTAACTTTGGGACTAGAAATATATAAATTCTTTAAAACGGGTCTTTTTAGAAAAAGATTATGCAAAATACCGAATCAAAGTATTTTTCCGATCGCATGCGAAGATACTTTCTGGATTAGAGCTCCCTGGGTTTCAACATTTCGTATTCTCCAAAATTATTTGAAAAAAATGGATGATGCATCCAACATCTTCTGTTTTCTATAAGTCAATGAACTTATAGAGAGAATTATTCAATCTCGTTGTAAATAAGTACATAGGCATCATTATTACTCTCTAAACATGCAACGGTTTCAAAAACACACTAACCCAGATATTTACGGCACAGTCTGGCATCGCTGCGCTGGTATTTCGTCGCCCTTTACAAACTCGAACAACTCTTATTCAGCGCCTGTCCTGGGCTGAATGTTGTTGTGCTGTTCAATAACTTGCGTGTTTTCGACCTCGCTAGCCGTTGTTTAAGCAATATCAACATTAAACATAAAAGTAAGTAGCCTTTATCACTGTTCTGGACCGTACTAATGTATGTTCCGTGGTAAACAACTCAAATATACGCTAAATTCTCTGTCACTGTATCAGCTGATTGTAACTGGGGACTCTGTTCCGTAAACACACAGCTAGCTGTTTATTGCGCAGTAAAAATCGTTTGAAAGCTCATCATGCGGGTTTTCTTTACGGTACTTGAAATGAAAAAAATTACATTACCTGTAAGTGTAATGTTTAAAAGTTTCTTTGTTCTTGGATTTGAAACGAGCGCTGGATCAATGATACAATACCTTACTGTGAGTGAAAGAGAGCGTTTTCGAAAACCAGCGGCGCGAGAAAGATGGACAGGGTGATATTAGATGCGCACGCAAGTATCTATTTCCTTCTATTTGTAGGCAAAAATACCCACTTCAAATTGCCTAAATATCTAAATAACTTTTTGTTGAAGGTGGTGTTTAGAATTTAGAGCTTCAATCATCTTTACATTTGAAGGTATTTTGGTATATCAAGAAAAAGCTTCCTATCATAGAATAGGTAGAGACGAAAGCCTGTCAAAAATCGGATTCGCTGGGTTTGGTAGGATTTCCGTTACTGTCACTGTGACTTTCAAAGAATAATTTAATATAGTATATGAAGCAATTAAAACATGCCAATTGTGCTTTCACATATATTTTCCTCAGAAGATCATCTGGAATAAGTTAGTGACAGGGGCGGATCTAGAAAATACTTTTGAGGGGGTCCATATGAGATGAATTATAAATTACTCGTTCAAAGTCTGTCTTCTTTTTAATGAACCAGACACGTCACCTTCGTCCATCTGTGTCATGACATTCAAAAGAGGACATATGTAATCTCGTGCTCGTTTGCCACTTTGGAGTGCTGGAATCCCTGCCACAGGCGGTCGGGCTTCGCTTTGCTCACCTTAAAATTGCAATTAAGGCTTCACGCGATCTCAGTATGGCAGAGGACCGGTCAGTCTGTTGTAGCACCACTGTATTGAAATGTTTAAAAGGAAGAATGAAAGCAAATGAAGAAAAAATGAAATGTCATCTGGAAGACATAAACAAAAAGTATATTGTCATTGTCAGCAGGATTGTCATAAAATGTACTTGAAACAGGCGACTGTGGTGGTCGAAACATTGTATCAGTATCAGACATATGTGGTTTCATTTAGTGGCTAGACTAACTTAGACTGTTATGCGTATGCTTTGGTTTTGGTAGAGTTAATTAATCGGTTACCTTATGCCTATATTTTTTCTATATCTACAACACTGACCCTGAATAACTCTCTTGCACGCCATTGCATTCAATTTTATTAGAGCCAAGAAAAAGAGTGGTAGGCGAGCAATATAAATAGATGGTTATGTAACCTTTTGGCAGTAACACAAAGCAACCTTGATTTTGTGGTCTGACCTGTGGTAGCTTTAAAGTTTTTTATTGATGTTTACTATGTGGAAGCTTTAACCCGTAACTTCTAGGAGAATCTCAGGGCAGTGGAACATTCAGGACTTCAGGAACAGTTGGTTGAATTAAGTTAAAAAGAAGAAATACTGAAAATCTGAACTGAATTTTAAAATAGTTTTTATAGAGGGTACAGGATAAGACTGAACGAAGTATGGATAAATTATGACGTTTTCAGGTTCGTTGTCCGATTGCAACATTGCTATGTTATGTAATGTGTCCATGAGCCAAAAACTTTTACAAACAGCTTGAGGAAGGATTAGGATTATGGACGTTAGGTTCCAGTTTTCAGCCGTTTATGCCATATAAATTAATCAATGATAAGCACAACTCCACAACCATCGCTGATACATTAATACAGTCAATTTATCTATTTTGTTTTAATGCTGCCTAAAAGTTGATCTCAAACCGCTTATGTCCCTTTACGTGTCAGATGCTAGTTTTTGACAGCGGGCAATAAACGCCATATTTAAGCCCTAGATACCTAAATAACTATCAATATCAGTATATAGCGTGTTTTCAAAATATGAGACAAACATTTTTTGAACTATTCTAATTGACGAGTTCTTTCAAATAATGTATCAAGGTAATATCATATTTTCGACCTCCAATTATTGGGTGCAATTCAGTAAATAATGATTGTGGTGTAGATGAAGCTATTTGGCAATCTATAATAAGAATAATGTAGTCTTGCATTTTAGCTGGAAGTATTTAATTGATCACCACTTTTGTTGCATATTCAGAAGATTCATCAAGTGATTTTTGTTAATGATAAAATATCTTATTTTCGAACATCATAGTTCTCCATCTTAGTTACGAGTCAGTATTTCAGTAAAATCATCTGTTACCCCATGTTCAGTAACCACTTTATTTTTTTGTCTACATTTGATATATAACAAATACTGAACAATTCTTCGTACACATTTTTTCATCGGAATTAGCACAACGAATGAGCACTGGAGCAAAAGACAACTCAGCAGAAATGGATTATATCTATCTTTTTAGACTCGTACATTGGTTTACACTAGCATTGCGTGGGAAGTGAAATCTTGTTGAAGCCCAAGCTCTTTTCTAGAAGAACCAAGTTCATATACCATCACGACGGTTCACAGCCGGCCGTCCGGATTGGCCAGTCCACAAAACAAAAACAAAAGAGCCTCGTCTTGGAACGGAAATTGTTTCGGGCCGCTGACTGGAACGACGGGCTCGGGGTTGGGAGCAGGATAATTAATTCACTCTTTTCGGTAAACCAAACGAAAAAAAAAAATAGAAGAGTGAGAAGAGGCGACGGCGACGGAGACCTGAGCTTGCCTTCGTTTCTGCTTTATTCAATCATCCTTGCAAAAAGAGTTTTGATGGTACAAATGGAATGGCCTGAATGAAGGGAAGGTTGGATTATGCTTAAATCACAATTGGCGATTTACTTTATAGTATAGGAGAAGTCACTATGTGTATATTTACGAGGGATGCCTTTTAAGTTTTGTATATGGAAACAAAACAACACGGTAGGTAGTTTTAAATTACTTTATTGTCTTTCGAAGTAGTCTCCACGAAGATTAATACACATCTATGTGCTCGAACCAATTTTTGAAGCACTTATTCCACTCGTTTGCTGGCAGATCCAAAACCGCATTTTTGAATGCGTCAACTGCTTCTTCTGGTGACTGGAACCTTTGAACACGCAGTCTGTTTTTAATTTTCTGGAAAGTAAAGAAATCGTTAGGACTTAGATCGGGACTATATGGATGATGGTCCAATATTTCCACGTTTTCTTCCGTTAAATACTGCCTTGTTCTTTGGGCTGTGTGCGAGCTTGCATTGTCTTGGTGGAGGATGATTCTTCTTTCGGGGTTGATTTTTCGAAGCTCGGTGATGACTTTTGGCAAACAAATGGTGGTATACCAATCCGCAGTAACAGTTCTTTGCTCATTAAGAAGAATCGTTGCAATATGACCCGCTTTTGACACAAATGTCGCGACCATCTTCTTCGAAACACTTCGAGAACGGTTGACTTTTGTTGGCTGTTCTTCACCTTGGAACACCCAAACAGCCGACTGTCGTTTATTTTCTGATTCATAACAGTAAATCCACGATTCATCACCACTAACAATGCTGTACACATTTTTTGAATTTCCGGAATTGAAACGGTCAAGCGTTTTTTGACACCAATTAACCCTGGCTGCTTTCTGCTCTTCAGTCAACTCGAGAAACTAATTTTCTTACTCCTAATTCTTCATGTTAATTTTTTTGAATTTGGTGCACCCACCCTGGGATCGTCCCTAAGACTCACCCGTCCACGTTTCAATTCTCCATACCAACGGGAAATTGACTGATGTGGCGCTTCGTTGCCGAAAACAGACAGTAACTCAGCAAGGCATTCTTGTTGCGATAATTCACTCTGAAAGTTGTAATATTATGGCACGAAAATGTTCTCGGTTGAGTTCCATTTTTCTAATGACTTGGTGACACTTAAAAATTCACTGTAGTGAGAATACTGCACGTATTGTGAAACTTTGAATTTAAGTTTACTAAAGAGTGAGGTTAATATTCGGTACTGACGTTCGATCCGTGCGGCCTACTATGTTTCTATATGCAAAACTTAAAAGACATCCCTCGTATATGTGCACTTAGTTTGAATGCGTACATTATTAAGCGCCTATAGGAGTATATAAGAAATCAGGTTACGCGATCCAAATCACTTTGCCATTATTCAAAAAGTGTTTAATCATAAAATGTTTGTTCTTCAATAACTAGTAAAATGAGCTGTGAAAGATTATATGGTTCCACTGGTTACAAAGATACGTTGAATAACCGCTTTACAACTTGGCGGCCATCTTTAAAATTGGCGGCTAAATGTCCATGATTTGGTCCGCCTGATCTCGTTTTGTATACAGGGAAAACCAAACTTGTCTGACGGCTGGAGTTCAATGTGTACGAGAGAAGTGCGTATCAACACATGTTAGAAGTCTGATAACTGAATAACTGAAAAGCGCGGGAGGGGGGATTTGGCGTTATAGCTTTCGTGACTCGAAAAGTGTGGGGGGCATGACATCCCTTCAGAATTGTGCGCTCCCCATGACATCGAGCCCACCATAGGGTCACTTCAGAATTCAAATAAATAATTCTAATCAAAATATTAAATTAAATGTATGATCACACCTCCTTCTTGGGTTTGACAGTAATCTAACCTATTGTAGAAGCATGTGCGTACATTTGACATTTGATGTAACATTTTGGCAACGCGGCAGATTGCACGACCTTCTACGTCACCGTCGCTAGGCAATGTGATGATGACCTTCCCTCTTCAGCCGGCTTCTATCTCTTTCTAACATGTGTTAATTTATACACAATTCTCGCGCATCCCTCTGGTAGACATTGAACTCAAGCCGTCAGACATATATGGTTTTCCTTGTCTGAGATTAGACGAAAAACCATGACAGTCATTTACGTCGATCTTTCTGTCTGTCGGTGTATCTATTCGCTAATATTTAGCCCATGTGCAACATGGAAAGTACTGCTCGGACGCGGATGAAATTTCACACAAGCTTACTACTATGCCAAGGACGAAAAAGCTTTGTAGTTGGTGCACATCGGTTTCGTCGCGAATAAAATTGGGGTATAGCGGTTCCAGGGGGATGGGGAGGATGTATAGCAATTTTTTGTTAGTATATTAATACAAATCCAACTCAGGCAATTCTATGCACCTTAGACATATTTGACACATCACAGATTTCCCAGTATATTTGCCCTTAAAACTTAAAAAGATTTTTTCAGAAGACAGGTCGCGTACCTATTTTTCGCACTTGCCGTTTGTAGAAGACGCGATATGCACATACGAGGAAGGTGCGATATTATCTGTATTTACGAACATTATGCTTGGAGTGTAATTTAATGAGGTTACTTGATTTCGTGAGGTAATATTTTCTTGTATAGTTTATATGTAAGTACGCATCAACAGCTATTATAATCAATTATCAAACCTTGTTGATAACCCAAAGAAAAGAGGCTCAATGCTGCCATCCGAGGAAATTTGTTTCACGAAAAGCCCAATGGTACAAAATCTACGTCTTTCTGATGCCATTGCATTACGTGAAAGATTGTAGTAGATGTTTTTCCGAAGCCGTGGAAAGTGTAGAGTTAATCTAGTTGACCCCATTTGCCATTTCACTTCCCACGCATACTGGCGGGGAAATATTGTAATTGCGAAAATACTCGAAAATGAGATATTACGTTTTTTGGATGTTATATGACATGTACATCACGAAAAACGGCTCTGATTTCGATGAAATTTTTACTCAAGGCCAAAAAAAAAGAAATCGGCCCAAACTCCGTTTTTTGATGTTTCAGACGATCCTGATCATTTAAGGAAAACTTTTTGTAGAAGTTTAAAATTGGGGGTTAGGGGTTGCAGGGTGGGGGAAGGTATATCTCAATTTTTTGACGTTGGTATACTTACACGGCTTTAACCCCAATAACTCTAACATATTAGGGATATTGCATTCATCATAGATGTCCCTGTACATTTATTGTGGGCTGTATGCACCGCGCATGGTGAAGGCCAATATCGTCATTCACCCGCGCTTGGCCAACGTAACGATCATGTGCGCTTGCAGTAATTCCTCTCAGGGGGAAGAGAAACGTAATTTAATTTTTTGTTATACATGTTCGTAGCTAACTTTTTCCTCAGAAGGGCTAACTTGTCCAAACATATGTAATCCTTTACGAACTGATGACAGTACGGGGTCAACTTACTTGACACCCTTTTTGTTGTTGCATGAGGGTTCAGAGTCCTTTCAGATTTAATCTATAGCCACCTAAGCGTGTTCTATGCTCTATCATGATTATAATTAAACGTAAAACGTTCGTTTAGATTAGAATAGCACGGCTTGTGCATATGCGCTAATACCATGGGTGCGCGCTTTGTACTTTAGGTAATCACCTCGAAAACATTTTTATTTACCAACACTTATTATCAATAACGTGGATATTTGTAAAACACTGATAGATATTGATAGCTCTGCTCCTATAAACCGTCAAAGACCAATACGTCTAGATATAGCGCTTATTGTTTGGGTCTCGAGTCCAATAGTGGGACAGGTATTTGTGACTAATGTTGAGTACAACTTATACTTAGGACTACATTGTTTGGCCGAATCAAACCATATATACAGTGCAACCCGCTTATAATTGACTCGGCGGGACTATGACAAATAATCTATTATAGGCGGATGACCATCTTAAAAGAAACACTTTTTTTTAATGAAAAAGCAGCAGAAATAACATATTAAAAGCTTAAAATGTGCTTGTTTAATATGCATTACATAAATAAAGATACATCCAAAAAAGTTGAAGGTAATTTTGAAATTTGCATTTTTTCAGAATCTGATACACATATTACAGGCATACGTACAGTTTAGGACTGTAAATTATTTCGTAAAAAAGCTAGTAATTTTCATTTGAACAGATTGTTTTTTGTATAATTATTTAGAACAGCAAGTTGAATTTTATTTAATTTGGTAAGTGTGGCTGTACTGTCTTCTTCTTGCTGAAAATAACGTTGCAACCTTTCCAGGCAGTCTAGTGCCTCCTTAGTGGTTACTGGAAGCTCTTCTTCATCGTTGTTTTCTAGTTCCTCTTCCTGTTCGTTATCAACGGATCCTTCATTAACCAAATTGTAGTCTGACATTTCCTGTGTTGCTATGAAATTATTGTCAACATTTACATACTCATTAAATTTGTCTATATTCAGTAAACTATTAATTTTCAGTAAATCACTTAATGGAATTTCATCTGCTGGATTAAAATCGTTGACTATTTCAGTTATGTTTTTCACTAAACCAGTATGGCGAAAACAATTACGAATCGTTTCTGGAGTAACTAATTCCAATGCAAATGCAAATTTATAGCATCTAAAATGATGACAGCTTTGGTAAGTTGACATCTTCTTGAAGCTCCATCATTTTCATCAACATATGTTTCCGGTACAAGATCAAAATTTTACGATTTTTGTTAAGTTAAGCGTCCCACTTTTTTAAATATTCTTCAAAAATTGATGAAGTCATCCAATGTTTATTATTTCCAACATAATCGACGGGAATTGTTTTAAAATTTTCAAAACACCTGGGATATTGCCAAATTTTGGAATCTATTATATCTCATAAAATAATTCTGACGGAATTGAATCTAACTCGCCAATGTACCACAAAAAAATCAAATGCCGCATCGTTGAGGTTTGGTACAATGTAATAACCTGTCAAAAGTCTTCTACTCTCTTCCTATGTTTTTATGCACTGAAAAAAATACCCTTGGCTTGTACGAGCTGTTCGGATTGTCTGTTTTAAGGTTGAACAAAAACCCCAATAAACCGCTTGCTTCTAAATCTACTATGGCCTTAGCTGAACAATGATTCAAGTTATAATCTCCACAACATATTCTAAAAGCAATATTATGTCGGCAACATAAGTCAGGTGGCTGGACCGTGGAAGGACATGCTCCTTATCAGGCGGATTGTCAAAAAGTCAATACCATGCGATGACATATTCATTCTACTCACACTTATCGGTCGTCGACGTTGAGATTATAATCCTACCTTACAGCAAAACGTGAGTTTTCAAGTAAATACATTATTTTTTCATATTTATAATTGTAGATTTACAACGTCATCTGGTACGTTTTTTTAACCAAAATTATAAAGGTTATTGCCAAATTATTTGATATAGATATAAAACTCATTAAAATCATTTTGAAAATATTTTCACTAATACATTCTTAGTTTTTTTCGTAGCGTTGATGTAATGTTTATTGAGTATTTTTTTATGAGAATATTGTAAGTATTTAATATTTGATTATGAAAGAGCTTTATATGTGGTTTTAAGTTGAACGACTCATTTATTTAATTCGCCTTGTTCCCTGCAAGGCCGTTCGGAAGAGTTTATTAAAACTCAAAATACGCAAATAATTCAAGTTATTGGAAATACCAATGTTACCTTGAAATCCATGTAATTTTTCTAAGGATGGACCATCGGCAAGAGTAAATTATATCTGCCCCCGAAACATTTTGAAGAAATTGTACGCAAATCATGCTAAATATGCAAATATTTTTAGGTACAACCGAATTCTCAAGAGGGGAACCTCTCAGGCGCCCCTCTGCGGGCACCCATGCTTGTAAAACTATGTCCACATTTAACTTCTGTATTGACGTATGAAAAATAGTTTTCCTACGGCTATGTGCTTGCGTGTTAAGTGCCGGGCACGCTTATAAATAGGTATCGCAACAGCGATGACAGAGTTTTCCACGTGACGTCATGAATGAACGTTTGTTAAAAATTTTTGGCGTATCAAGCATTCGAAACACGATGGTTATAGCTGTGCATATTTTTTCGTCTCGGGTTCTAAGTCCGAGTTTAAATGTGCCGTGACTTGCAAGTATATTTGATTCAAAATAATGCATTTAATCTCGTGAATTTACAAAGGAAATGCTAATTCATTGCTCATTTTTCTAATCCTGATATTTGAAATTCGAGCGAGACGAGATGACAACTGAGTTAGCTTAATATAAATATGTACTTAGAAATAAGAATGTGCAGATATATTATTCACTCGTAAGCATATACATACTCAGAGCGCTCCCACTTTATCCGAAAAAGCAATATTGATATTAATGCCGAATCTTACAGTCATAAAATACATTAATGTAACATCTAAGACAACATTCTAACCAAGGGCAACCCGTCAGCAACTCGGATTTCGATTTCAGTTGCGGTCTGACCGAAAGCAACTGCTGGGCAACTGACTGCCTCGTCATCAAACTCACGCGCACGAACTTCTGAAACAAGATCTCTCTTTATGTGCGCTAGACCGGATTCGTGGAAATGTTTCAATTATCTTCAATTGTTACAAGAGCATTCACTCTCAGAGGCGCTGGTTATGCATGCAGTCACCGCCACCCTCATGATTTTCAATCCCCGCTACCAACACCCCCCTATCAAGTATTGTCAAACATGTAAATTCCAATTACTAAATCTGTGGAAAGCGCCACCTTCTATAGACATATTTCTTGAGGTTAATAATCAATCGTAGAGTATTCATTTGCTTCTACACTTCTTGTATCAACTGTAGCTTTCCAATTAAATCACTTCAAATGTCACGAACACGTGATGGAGAAGTACTTTTATCGGATTATCAATGATTTTGCTCAGAATTTGCTGGAGTGTCTTACGTCTTAATCTTGCCCTGAAGATATAGATCTCAGAGAAATGCGTGTTGGGTATTAAAAAATGGGTTTGACAAGTGGAAGATTTCACGTGAGACGAAGCGAAAAAAAAGTGGTCAAAAAGTTTTAAAACCTCACTTTTTTTCGTTGTCCGCTTCACGTGAAATACCCCATGTGATATATATATAAGAAAATAATGGGCAAAATCCGCAAAAAGGAGGAAAGTGAATTCGAGCAGAAAATAGGATAGGTAACCCGAGCGATACGTATTTCTGCTGGTTGGCTGCATCAGGCCCGAAATGATTGCACATATGAAACTACAAAAGTAGATACACATGCCCACACATCCGGTTACGGGTGTAATTTCTGCTCGAATCCACTTTACTCCTTTTTGCGGATTTTGCCCATTATTTTCCTACTTGTTGTTATATACGTATACCTTTCTCCGCATGATCATATTCTCTTTGTAGATCCTTTGGGCTTGAAGTACCACAGCAAGTGGCTATAACCGGCCGCGTGGTTGTGGTTAGACGTCTCCTTGAAAATTCGAGGTCGTATAGCCATTTTATACTACAATGTGTAGGTTGGCTCTTGTTGTGGACTTCGTGTGTCGTTTTTTTTCCCCTCCAACTTCGTTTCTTCAGGTTACACCCGTATCCGGATGTGTGGGCATGTGTATCTACTTTTGTAGTTTCATATGTGCATTCATTTCGGGCCTGATGAAGCCAACCAGCAGAAATACGTATCGCTCGGGTTACCTATCCTATTTTCTGCTCGAATCCACTTTCCTCCTTTTTGCGGATTTTGCCCATTATTTTCCTATTTGTTGTTATATACCTTTCTCCGCATGATCATATTCTCTTTGTAGATCCTTTGGGTTTGAAGTACCACAGCAAGTGGCTATAACCGGCCGCGTGGTTGTGGTTAGACGTCTCCTTGAAAATTCGAGGTCGTATAGCCATTTTATACTACAATGTGTAGGTTGGCTCTTGTTGTGGACTCCGTGTGTCGTTTTTTTCCCCCTCCAACTTCGTTTCCTCAGGTTACACCCGTATCCGGATGTGTGGGCATGTGTATCTACTTTTGTAGTTTCATATGTGCATTCATTTCGGGCCTGATGAAGCCAACCAGTAGAAATACGTATTGCTCGGGTTACCTATCCTATTTTCTGCTCGAATCCACTTTCCTCCTTTTTGCAGATTTTGCCCATTATTTTCCTACTTGTTGTTATATACCTTTCTCCGCATGATCATATTCTCTTTATATATATACATATATTCTCTTCTATGGTTGTCTCCTCGCTGATCATAAATCGCAGATATAGACGTAAAAGGTCTACTCAAGTTTCGGTCACATCTGTGACCTTTTTCAAAGTACTTTGATGTACTTCCAACTGCAGCATTTCACAGTATTTATAAAAAATATCAGTGGAGTAACTTCTGTAGTTTATACGCAAACCATTCGTTTTGAAATTGGAAAACTATTTATGAACTTGTCTGCTTAAAACCGAATTGCTGAGTTAGTTTACTCGACGCGACAGTTTTTACATCAGTAGCTAGACGGGCGGATCCCAAAAATAAAAAGTGTGAAGTCTTGATTTAATTTTAATTATACAAAAATACAGGATGTCCTATCTACATTATAACAGGTGCATTTCTATTTCAAACATTAGAGTTTCTCTTTCAGATACACCTACCTCCTGAAGCAAAACAGACCGACTGTGCAAGAAGCGAAGAAAGAAAAAACGTTTAACTGAGAATATTCAAAGAGCTACTTAAAAGCAAGGTAAGATTTCTAATATATTTTTAATTGCCGGACAAGTCAGTTGCGTTTCACACGCGGCCAAATTTTAGACATTATAATATATAAGTTTTTTCATTTGTTTTGTTTGTAGGGTAATTTAGGTATAATGCTTGTTTTCTGAGAGTAAATGCATTAAAGTTTATCGTAGAATGTTTGCGTTTTCAGGATATATTTTCATATTTTCGTAGTCGTAAAATAAAATTTATTACACCGACTTCAGAAACAGGAATAGGTTTGGTTTGATATAAACCTGCTACGCTGACATTTTTATCCGTTTGCAGAAGCCTCCTAGTAATAATCGTTTGAAAAGTATGCTTTAAAAAAACTCGATGCTAAATTGGGAGTCACGAGGATTTTGGACAGCAACGTATAATTCTGGGGCAGGGACATTTTCAATAAATTAATTTGACAGTAGGCTGTAACAGTTATCATCGCATGTTTTCAAAATTTGAAAAATTTTAAATTTTTTCGAGTGTTGCTTGCGCGGTTTTCGATAACGAACATTTGAGCAACAACAAAATTTTAAAATTTTTGATCTCTTCAAGATTTTTGGAATTTCAGTCTTAAAAAGTCTGAAAATTCTGAATATTGTGCTGATTCTTTTTTAAATCTCGTGTTTTTGGAAATTTTAAAATTCTGAAAATTTAATAACGGTAGTCTTGAAAATGTCGCAAATCAAGCAGTGCACTGTATTTAGGAATATTTACACCAAATATGAACACATCTACAATAAATTTATATAGAGAATTAAAATAGTTATCAAGAAAAAACCTTTAAACGTTTTCGTTTTTTTTTATTTTGATAATGACTTCAGGCTAGCTTTCTATGCACCACATTTTTTTATATTGGATAAATGAGCTTACAAACAAGCACTCATTAATTTTGTTGCGTACCTCGCTTAAGGAGATTTTACAACGATTTAAATGGATAAAATTCAATAAACACACCAAGTCTGAAAGTTTTTTTCCCGATACTCGATATTTTATTTGTTATCAATGTATCGTAGATGTTATTAAAGATAAGATATATATACTAAGTGACATATAAATCCGAACACCCAGTTTAAATGGTATTATTTTTTTTTAAACATATAATTGGCATTGGAAGTTATCCATTTGCCACAGATGTGTGTTACTTATATTTCTCTAATTATGGACAAACACACGACGTCACAACATCCATGGCGAAGGCGAGATTCGAACTCGCGGCCCGGCCGGCCGGCTGATCAGTAGCACGACACTCTGACCAACGCGGCCAACCGAGGCCCCTTTAAATGGTTTTATTTTAATAAAATTTTGTATAAGTACTTAATGAAGCATAATAAGTAATAAGTAAATGATAAAAATTTCACAATGATTGCACTGTTTTAAAGCCCTTTGACATTTAATAATGTGTGGATGCACCCTGATGTGCTACGCATTCTCCAACGCGCCTAGGCATGCTTCTGATCAGGTGGTCAATGTCCTCCTGTGGTATCTCATTCCAGGCAACCACCAACTCCTCTCGAAGTGCTTCTAGAGTCTGAGGAGGACGTTGCAAATTGAGCAATCTCCTACCCATCATATCCCACACGTGCTCAATTGGGGATAAGTCGGGAGATCTTGGTGGCCATGGTAACAATGTGACATTATATGTTGAAAGAAGTCTATTGTGACTCTTGCAACATGTGGTCGGGCATTATCTTGTTGGAAAGTTGGATCTGCCAGGGTGTCATTATAGGGTAAAAGATGGGGGTTCTAGAACTTCGTGGATATAACGCTGCGCGTTTATGTTACCTCTGATCAAGATTAAAGGTGACCTGGAACCATAACTCCAACAGTGTGATGAACATGTCTTTCAACAAAAAACTGTGGATTCCTCCTTTCACCACGTCGCGTTCTAACCCTGGCACGACCATCGTGCATGCCTAAACAAAATCTAGACTCGTCACTAAAGACAATACTGTTCCATTCCTGATCCCAGAGTGACCGTTGTCTGCACCACTCAAGGCGATTACGTCGGTGTTCTCGAGTTAAAGGGAGGACCCAGTGTGGCCGGTATGAAAACAAGCCAAAACTTCTCATTCGTCGGTAAACACTTCGCATGCCAATAGGTCTTCCGTGTTCTGCAAACCATTCATTTGCAATGGACCTGGTAGTGGAGAAACGGTCCCTTAAGGCCAATAATCTTAGGCAGCGATCTTCACGGTCTGTTGTTCTACGGCGGCGTCCAGTGCCCCTTGCTCTTTGCGTACGGCCTTCTCGAAGCCATGCCTGACAACACCTAACCACAGTGTCTACACTTCTTTGCACTCTAACTGCAATTGCCCGAAAAGAAAGTCCAGCTTCCCGAAGTCCCACTATACTGCCCCTATCAAACTCACTAAGTTGACGAAATCGTACAGGTCTCCGTACTCTAGGCATCGTAACCGATCGTAAAGGATGTCAAGAACCAAAATCGGCCAACGTTGATTCTTTACTGCGGCTGAAATATTCATTTTTAGAGCGTTACTGAATTAAAAAAAAGCAGTATAAAAACCGGAATGTCCAACTGATAAGGCTGAAAATTTTTTCACTTGTTATTTACAGTAAGATAAATACATTCACCAACTTTTATTAAAATAAAACCATTTAAACTGGGGGTTCGGATTTATATGTCACTTAGTATATAATAAAAATGACCTAATCCGAATTTTTCAATTTTCACCAATATGATGGGCGAAAAAGCCCTAATCTTTACCCACCACGATTACGTTAGATTCTAACGGTTAGAACTTTGGAAGGCATGTTTTTCCAATCCTCCTAAAAAATTAAAA